TCGCCACAGTGAAGAGGAGTGACTTAGTATATAAGTTACAAAGGTCACCCCACTCATTGCCAATTGATTTTGAGATGAGAGCCCAAAGTATTTATATATTTTGATATGATATCCGAGCGTTCTAGGCCTGTGGTGATTTCTGGACCGGAGATGGCCCGTGTGGTTGATATGCTTAAAATTTACCTATTCTAATATCCTTTTATGCGAGATTTTGCCAATATTTTGAGTACAAATGTGCTATTTATGTGATTTTATATTTAATTGTAGGAATTGTACTCAAAAAGAGGAATTGTTGAAATTGTGGGCTAAATTGAAAAGAAAGAGCAACTAAAAAGGGCCTAAGTGAAGATTATAAGAACTAATGAGGAGGGAATCAGAAGACTTGAAGATTTAGAGGACCGAATTGTAATTTTCATTTTTTTTAGGGTTTGGCCGAAACAAAGGTGAAGGTGCGGCTGTTTTTGGAGTTGAATTGGGTAAGAATTTGAATACCAATATTATTTGGGGAAACAAGTTTTCTTCTTCTCCAAGTAGTAGGGTTTGACCGAAGCCTATGAAAGGAGGATTAGGGGTTTATTTTTAGAACCGAACTTGACCGAAAAAACCCTACGTCCTCCGCCGATCACCACCTTAAGCTCTCCTCCATTCCCACGCAGCACCAGCTTCACCACCTTGTTTTCTCCTTCACCTCACGCACCACCGAAACACAAAACCCACTGCTGTCCACCTTGTTCCTTCATCACATCACCGCCGACCATCACCTAGCTTCCATAAGCAACACCTTGCTCCCTTGCTCACCTCGCACACCAGCCAGCAGCTTCACCACCTTTCTGAAGCTTCATCATCCACGAATCTCATCATCATCATCCCACGCACCACCGAACTTCAACAAAACCCAACCGAAGCAGCCAGCTCTTCCTTGCCGCAGCAAACCACCACACGCAGCAGCAGCCTCTGCCTTGCTCCAATTCATCATCCACGCATCCTCACCTTCATCCCATCACCGCCATCACCTCCTTGCTTCTTTTTCTCCACTACCACGCACACCCTCACTTCCACTGCACCACGCATCATCACCATCAGCTGAGAAGAACCGTACACACTAGAAGCAAGCAGCAGCAAGAATCAACTCCGGGATGAAAGCCTTCAGATTTGCATCACGGCTGGACAAGTTCTACGGCATTGCTTTTCTTCCGAGTTTTTGGTGTTTTAATTCCTTTAATTTTAGACTTTGTGTGGATTATGTCTCTAAATATTGTTGAATTATTTTTGATAATGTTTAGTGGCTAAATTCTTTTAACCTAGGGCTTGGATGTAGCCACCGGATTTATTTGGTTTATTTGATTCATGATAAGATTTTTTTTCATTGATCAATATTTAATATTCTTGTTTTTATTCCATGTTTGTAACTGGCCACTACTTGCATGTTTAAAGATATTAATTGATGGAACGACAGTTGAAAATTAATATTAGTTCATGGGAATATTGGACTTAGGTAGTAAGCCACGCCAGTAGGAACACAACCTTTGCAACGTTAGATTCTTAAGTTCTTAATGTGCTTTTGTTAATCCTATAGTCACGAGAGTAGTCATAGGGTTAATTTAAGTAAGAGAATTAAAACACGAGAGTGTATAGTTCTTAATTAGGTGAATCGTTGTGAGATTAATAGAAGTAAGAAGTCAGATATTTGTGAATTGAACTAAACCAAGTATTCGGTAGGTAAACCCAATGTCCTAGGTTTTCTTTGTCTGATTATTTGAATTAATATTATTTTATTTTATTTTATTTATTTATTTTATTTTTAAAATTTATAAATCGAAGATCATCATTTATCTAGATAATAATAGGAATAATTTATACTTGGTAGTTAATGTTCTTTCTCTGTGGGTACGACCCTATTTTTTGCTATACTAGGGTTAAGTAGGTGAATTTATTTGACTAGTTGTCACGACGGCTTGTCAGTGGTGATTTTATTCTCCCACTTGAGCATTAACTCATGGGCTTGTTGTGTACCGAACCAGCGGTATAACTAGTTTTCTTCCACTAGAGTGTTAACTCGTGGGCTTGTTGTGAACCGATTTAGCGGTATAATTGGTTTTCTTCCACTAGAGCGTTGACTCGTGAGCTAGTCTCTTCTTCTCCCGATTCAAGTTCATTGGGCAAAAAGTTCAAAGACCCATTGAACTTGAGAGCGGGTGTTAAAGTGTTTTATCTTGTCCTACATCGCCACCGTAAAGAGAACTGACTCAGTATATAAGTTTTAAAGGCCACGCCACTCATTGTCAATTGGTTTTGAGATGGGAGCCCAAAATACTTATATACTTTGATAGAAGATTAACATTATGATTATTAGCTAAGGCTTCATATGGTGGTGTTCATGATGACGACTTGAATTTAATCTCCATTACGTTTCTTTCTCTTTTTAACCTAATATGTTGTGTAGTATGGATCTGTTATGATGATTATGGATGCTACATTGATTCTGAATTTTGGTTCGATGTGAAGATCGATCAACTCATTCTCTTGCATTCTTATGTTTTGAAATTTCTGGTCAGTATCACTGCATGACACATGAATCGTAACTTTTTAAAGGATTTTTAGTAACACCGGTGGCAACGAATTAACTTAATTGGACCAAATTGAAATTTACCTCTTTCAGAAGTCATACTTTTGAGGTACTATAATATCATGAAGGTATTTTATTCCCAAAATACATATATTTGTATTTTTTTTTCGAGTTAATAATAATCAAAACTGAAGGCTTTTAACCTTGAAAACTTACAGAACAAGGGGCTCACAAATAAAATATACGAATTTATCGGATTCTAAGACCTTTTTTTTTTGTTTTTTTATAATCAGCGGATACATCAATTTGGATTGCTATCTCCGAAAGTATTAGAAAAACATATTCCCTATCAGAAAGTCCTGAATGCATCTCAAATCGGATTCTAAGGCTCTGTTTGATAATCACTTAATATAGTGACTTAATTCATTTAAGTAATTAATGAAATTAAGTGTGTTTGATAATCATTACTAAAAAGTCTTAATAAATTAAGTTCTGAATTAATTAAGTACTTATAAATTAAGTGCGTTTGATAACTAAAATTTCACTGTCTGAATTAATTAAGTGCGTCCGAATGGTTAGTTCAATTGTGAGCCAAAAAATAAGTGATAAGTCTATCACTTATCACTTAATTTCTATGATGACCTTCTTTTTTTTTCCCTTTTTTTTTCCATCGTCTTTATTTTATCGCTTATTTTTACATTATTTTTAAAATTTTTATTTTCTTAAGATAAATTAATTAAGGTGCTTAAAGTTGAATTTATATTATGTGTATAAAAGATCTCAAACTTTCAAACTCAAATTAAAATAATTTTAATACATGAAATTTGCTAAATAACAAGGTATACACATATATGTAATAATATAAATTTAATTATATATTGATTATTTACCAAATGTAACATCTACTTTCATTATATATACAAAAACTTATTTTAAAATTATTATTTTATTATTTAGAACAAAATATTAGTTATTTTTCTATTTAAAAGAATTTTGTTTATAATTCAATTTTAATGATATTAAAATTTTAAATAACTTTCAGACATGAGTATTCAGATTCAGTCTTCAGACTTCAGACTTCAGTCTTCAGACATCATATTCAGACGTTTTTATCAAACAATGTAAATTCAGTTTTCAGACTTCAGACTTCAGTATTAAGTGTTAAGTGTTCAGATTCAGACTTCAATGATTATCAAACGGACCCTAAGACTTTTTTTTTTTTTTTTAAGAATCAGCGGATACATCAATGTTTATACTCTTTGCATTTAGTTTAATCTTAACCGATTCTGCATACTTAAAACTTAATTTGTATCGTGAAATGTTTCAACTAGGAGCATAAAGGAATGAGTTTAATTGTCCATCATTTAATACTATATTTATGCTCCAATTTTCAAGAACTGTGTAATCGATAACAATCGCTCTACATTTCAATTCCAGAGTTGAGAAAAATTAAAATCAAAACACCTTTTTCTCATAATCCGAAGTGCCATTTATTAATTATTCCTATGTCCCTGTTCAAACTTTGCACCACTGTGGTTAGCGAAATGCCTTTTTCACCGTGAAACAACAGTTTCGCAAACATTAGTTTGTAACTTTGTACTTTGTACACCACTGTGGTGTACAAATTTGAAACATCGTGTCAATGGTGCTTCAACTTAGTAAAAGATAAAAAACGGTTCCAAATTGTTTTATTTAATGAAAATGTGTAGTAGTATAGTATACATTATCTACAAATCGTGTTAGAGGCAAACCACATTAAAACGATACCAAGTTGTTTGTTTCCATTAGGCCATTCGCAATGGCCATTCTGAATTTTTTATTAATAAATGTTTCATTCTAACATATTGTTTTACATTTTCAATATATTTTTTTTCATTATTTACAAAAAAAAGCATCTGAAAACAATTAAACACACACTAAAACTTTCAAATATACCCTAAATCATACACAAGTTTCATTGCATTTTCTACTAGCGATCAATGTGTTATTAACTACTCTCGATTATGAAAAGTGTGCTATACTACGTACTCACAATCACAGTGTACATGAGGTTCGTTAAGTTATTAAAAAAAAAAAAAGGGGGGGGTTGCGGTTGGGTCTTGTCTTCCTCGGAACTCCCAAAACACTTGGACGCTTATAATTACGCACACTCATTTCAGTCAGTCAAATCAAATCAAATTTCAAGTCTCATTTCTCTCTCCCCAAAAATCACTCCATATTATCTTATCTGGGCCTCCGAGTGTTTTTTGTCTGCAAGCTGTTAGAATTCTGAGCACATATCAAGAATCCTCAATGGCCCAATTTATAAGTATTCATTGGTTACCTCAATTAATCCTCACGCCCCAATTTTCAAATTTGAAGTATTACTATTCCTTTATATACAAATTATAGAAAAGCCCAGCTCCATTTCCCTAGTTACAAGAGATTATTCATTATTCATTATTCACTCCAATCTCTATCTCTCTCGTTTCTCTCTCTCTCTCTCTTGTTCGTTCTCTTTGACCGCCTCGGCGTCGCCAAAAACCCCAATTTCAGATTTGACCAGAACCAAACCCACAAAAAATACCCCGTCATTTTCCCTCTCTTTTGCACTACTTTAAACCAACATAACGGCGGCCTTTTTTCTTCTCTGAAGCATTTCGTCAAACAGACCCCCCTCCCTCTCATTTTTTTTTATATACTCTTCCTCTGTACTAATCATGAGTAAACTACTCATTAAAGGAACCAGCAGAAGCATTGATTCTGATGCCAATGCGGTCAAGGTCAGTGGTAGTAGTACAAGTATAACTGTATCTGGGCCTTCTGGTGGTAGTTCTACTAGTGACTTTGAATTTGGGGAGAAAGAAGTGGATTCTGAAGGTGGTTTTGGGATGAATAAGAGTGGTAATGAAGAGGAAGAGGAAGAGTATTTGGATAGTGGGAAAAGCAGTTTGAGTTCTGCTAGTTATTGTACTAGTGAGGATGTAAATGAGGCTAGTTTTAGGAAGTATTGTCCCTCAAAGCCTCATAAAGGGAATGATATTAGGTGGGAAGCAATCCAATTTGTGCTGGCCAGAGATGGTCAGTTGGGTTTGGGGCATTTTAGGTTGTTGAAGAAATTGGGTTTTGGGGATATTGGGAGTGTGTATTTGGCGGAGTTAAGAGGGATGAAATGTATGTTTGCTATGAAGGTGATGGATAAAGGGATGTTAGCTGGGAGGAAGAAGATGGCCAGAGCTCAGACTGAGAGGGAAATCCTGGGATTGTTGGATCATCCGTTTCTGCCGACCCTTTATTCGCATTTTGAGACGGAGAAATTCTCGTGCTTGCTCATGGAATTTTGCAGTGGCGGGGATCTGCATATTCTTAGGCAACGTCAACCAGGAAGGCATCTTACAGAACAAGCGGCAAGGTTAGTTCTTTATCGGCGAAAATTTCGAATACTAATGAAGTTCTATGCTTTTGATAGTCATGCAACTGTGGTTAGACTGAAAAGCTGTGCCAAAAGTAGTTTTTTCCTCTTAATTGCTCTAATTTCTTAGTATACTTTCACCAGTCTCTTTATTGTTCTGAAAAGTAGGCGCTTTTGCTGTAGTTTCAGAAGAGAGAAAATTCTGTGGTTTATGATGTTTAAGAGGATTACTGCACTTGCAACTACGGATTAATGAACTATTGATTCTGCAATTGAACCTGTACTGCTGTTATTTTGACTATGTCCTCTGTTTGCTTGAAGTTCAAACTTGTGTTCCTGTATACCTGAATTTCACTGTTCCATTTCATTTGTCAATCTCTACTTCACTGTGTCAAGTGCAGGGTGCAATGATTATCTTCACTAGACCACAATGAAAGGATTCTCTAGTTCAAGAATTTTCGTATTAATATGCATAAATTTTGTCAATTTTGTTTCTTTTGGCTTTATCACTCATTGACATTTAGGTCGACTTTTTTGTAATGCTAATTTATGTTACAGAAAATGACATTTAGATTTCAATTAATTGTTTCTTCTTGTCTGGCACAGGTTTTATGCTTCAGAAGTGCTCTTAGCTTTGGAATATTTGCACATGATGGGAGTGGTCTACAGGGATTTAAAGCCTGAAAACGTTATGGTTAGGGAAGATGGTCATATTATGCTCTCCGATTTCGATTTATCATTAAGATGCTATGTTAATCCAACGCTGGTAAATTCCGGAAGCGAGACATCATGCACCACAATTTCATCATACTGTGTTCAGCCACCATCATGCATTGCTAACCCATCATGCAAATTACCAGTTTGTGTGGAGCCTTCCTGTTTCCAGCCCTCGTGTTTCAAACCTCGACTTTTCAACTCCAAAACATTGATGAAAATGAGGGGAGGAGAATGCACCAGTACCACTTTGACTAGCAGTAGTACTTCAGATTCTTCACTCCCGGTACTCATAGCAGAGCCAACTGCGGCAAGATCCATGTCGTTTGTCGGGACACACGAATACTTAGCCCCTGAAATCATCAGGGGAGATGGTCACGGGAGCGCAGTTGACTGGTGGACATTTGGCATTTTCCTGTACGAGTTGATGCATGGGAAGACACCCTTTAAAGGCAATGGGAACAGGGAAACATTGTTTAACGTTGTAGGGCAGCCATTAAAGTTCCCGGAGAGCTCAACTGCGAGTTTCGCCGCCAAAGATTTGATCAGGGGTTTGCTTGCAAAGGACCCACAAAAGCGATTAGGATACAAAAGAGGCGCGGCGGAGATCAAACAACATCCATTTTTTCAGGGTGTGAATTGGGCACTCATCCGGAGTACCCCACCTCCAGAAATCCCTCGACCTGTAAATTTTGCTGTACCAAATCAAGCAACACTCAAGTCTTCCTCATCATCGGCCACTCAGCCTTCGAGTAATGACAAAGGAACTTCTGAGTCGGATAGATCATCCGGGCCTTACCTTGACTTTGAATTTTTCTAACACAATTTTGACTGCAGAAAAAAAGAGCAGATGCTTTCTGTTCTTGCATGTCCTCTCGTTTGCAGGCCAGCATAAATTTTCCTAAAAAAAAAAATTAGTTTGTATGTATTTTCAGTGTAATTTTTCTTTGTTTTGTATAAGGTTTTTTTTTTTTTTTTTTCCTGCTTTTCCTTGCTGCCCTGCAAAAAAGTTGAACGCGCACCAGAAATACCTCAGGAGGAGATTCTCTGCTTCTTTTAACTTTGACCAGCACAGTTTTAAGTTTTTTTTTTTTTTTAAAAATGGTACCAGTATATTAATTTGAAGTACCTATACACGGACATCATTATATAGATCACGGGCATCATTCTTACTAACTTTAGCTAAAGTACAAGATTGAAATGTTGACATTAATTGACATAACATATGACACTTATTATTCAATCTGAACGAAGGTTACAATTACAAAAAGTGAATTAGGTTTAGTTCTTAGAAAAGTAATTATAAACATTCTAATATAACTTTTCAAACCGTAAATGTGAAACATGTCACACTTTTTTGGTATCATAACAATGTTGTACCCAAGAAATCAGAATAACTTTTTTGGGTTGTTGCGACATGCTAACTTAGTCCTTTTCTAACTTTACTTTTAAGCACGGCTTCACTGATAATTGTAAAAAAATTTCAATGGCCTTTCTCCCCTCAGATTCTTGACTAAAAGGTTCATAAATTCTATCTTAATAAAGCAAAAAAGAGAGAATTTGATGCAGACAGATACAATGGAAAGGTGTCACGACAAAGATGAACATCAAACACGTCGATTAGAACTTATCAAGCGAAGTGTGATATCAGAGAATATTTGATTTAGTGCATATGAGTTTTATGCATCATTCTCTAAGATACTAGAGGAGCTCTCTCCAAAATGAGCTAGGCTTTATTTTTCATGACACAGGCTTTATCACAGAAAAAATGTTTCCTTTCTCCTTTTTTTGTTTTTTTGTTTTTTTTTTTTTTTTTGTTTCAAATGTCTTTTAATCTGCATTCAATTCCCAGCTGCTATTTTCATTTCCTTGAGCTGGATTCCAATCTCTAGACTATGGAGGATAACGATTGAACCCAAAAATCCGAATTAATTTAAGTTGACTTGGCTCTTTCCTAGAATGCACTTTAGTGTTTAATGCAACCTTTTCAACTTTGGTTAGGTATTGATTGAGGGATTCCATGTAGACATATCCCTTAAAACAATATTCTTTCTGTCCTTAATAGCACCATTTGTTGTTATAGTAGTGTCTATAAAAATTAGAATTAATATCCTGTTAAATTGAGACGGTTCCTCTTTTTTCTTTCTTTGTTCTTTTTTCCCCCCTTTTGCAGATTCCAATTATTTCACTTACTTCGCTTTGTCAAAATAAGGATTCACTTTGAGGAAAAAAGAATTGAAAAAAAAAACATTTTGATTTTATCACATGTTTTATCTAGGATGTCTTTGTAAGTGGAAAAAAACTTTTAAAAATATATTTTTACATTCTTTGTGTACTCTTAATTATTAGCAAATGTTTTTAAAGTTTTTATTTTAATTAAACAGACATCCTAGATTAAACCTAGGACAAATCAAAATGACTTATAATAAAGATAGGAGGGAGTATTAACATAGAACTGCAACTCTATAATTTCTACACTGTTAAATTTCTTCCACAAAAGATATCAGATCGATAAAGAGCCGTTACTCTAATTTGGAAGTTGGAACTATTTGATTTTGGCAGCAGAATATGCAATGCATCATCCAAAAGACATTCAGAAAACTGGATTCCATTATCTTACTTGCACGAGAACTCAACACACATGATAAATGGAACTGTTACAAGTAAGGTTGAGTTAACTTTTTCGATGTATTATCTAACTTAATTAGTATACAGTTGCTCAGTTACAAAATAATTTTCTTATCTATTACTCCCTCTGTCCCAAAATTATTGTCCTGTTTGATTGGGAGAATAGGCCTTTTCATCCCAAAATTTGAGCCACACCATTTAAAATATCCCAAAGTTTAAAAGCATTTCATTTTCATCCCAAACTTTTCAAAAATATGTAATATTAGAACATTTGTTAATTTTTTCAAGTTATTAACGGTGATATTTCATTCAGTTTCTTTTCTCTCATTTTTTTTAGTCAAAAAAGTTTCATGCTTACGTTTGTTAAATTTGGTCTATGACAAGCAAAAAAGTTGCATTCCCATGCATTAATTACAACACCAATTTTTATAATGATACTACATATTTGGAAGAATGGATGATATGAAGACCAAATTAAGTTTAGCTATTTTCTTAGAAAGTGGGAGTTAGTAGAACGTGTTAAATAATTAAAAGAATTGGGGGAGGAGAAACATAATAAAATACCACCACTAATTAATTAACTGGAGTTAAAAATTTAACGAATATCATAATGTAACATGTTTTTAAAAAGTTTGGGATGTAAATGGCATATTCTTAAACTTTAGAATGTTTTGGATGGTGTGACCCAAACTTTAGGATGAAAAGACTCATTTTCCCCTGTTTGAAATATTACTTTTAGTACAATTTGAACTAAAAATGAAAACCCAAACTGGACAATAATTATAGGAGGGAGGGAGTATAAATTAATGAACACTATATAAAACGCGATATATAATTATTTTGGGATGGATTAAAAAATAAAGGAGGCATGGATATTACTACCATATAAGGGGTGTCATTAAAGAATTTCTAAAGAAATCCAAAGAATTTCAAAAAAAAAAAAAATCCGAATTCTTTAACCTACAACATTGCATCTGACGCCTGAAAGTCTACTTATATTATAAACCAAATTTCTTTTTGACTGCAGATGAATGGCTCGTTTGATAAAACTTAATTTGGGTCTGAAGTCTGAAATCTGAATACTGAATCATAAGTACTGAACTGATTAAGTTTGTCGTATTTAATAAAAACCAAAATCTAAATACTGAATAAAATGTCTGAAATCTGAAGTCTGAACACTGAAATTTAAAGTATTTCGACTTATGAAACTATGATAATAAAAATAATAATAGTATTATTAAATAATATAATAAAAATATTTATTTTATTATATTATTATTTTTTCAGTTAATAATAATGTCATATTTTATCATTGTCAAAAAAATTCATATTTTATGGTAAATATATATTGATCATAGAATTTAATGGATTTTAATTCTTATATAAAAAATAAATATTTATTAAATCAAAAATAATTTATATAAATTTTAATTTAAAACTAGACATCATGATTAATAAAATATTTCAAGATAAAATATCAAAAGTATAAACATAAAAATAAATAAATAGAAAAAAATCGTTCAAAAATTCAGTTCAGACATAAGTGATGGACTTATTACTTATTTCTAGGCTCACATTTGTACTAGCATTTCAGACCCACTTAATTTATTAAGACATCCTACTTTGAGTTATCAAACGCTTTAAAATTTAAGTCCTTAATACATTAAGTTCTTAATCAATTAAGTTGTTATGATATTGTGTTATCAAACAGTGCTAATCAATTAAGTACTTAATTAATAAGTTTAAGTACTTAATTGGTTTATCAAACAGGGCCGAAATCATATAGCTCCTTCCCCTTCATGCTCAATTCTACTAATTAACATTTTCAGTTTATGATTCTTTAAAAAATAAAAAAGAATTGTTCATGCAAAGATAAAATTATGGTGTGTCTTTCTTTAGATAAATTTTTTTCTCATTACTATATTTTTCCTACTTAGTATTTACAAGAAGATGTTCAATGTATCAATTGAGAAGAAGAAACTAAAGGCTATCTTCCTAAATTCAACTCCAAAAACTTTTCAAGCGGAGAATTATCAGCTACGAAATTTTCAACCTCTAAGCCGAGACTCGAGAGCCTTGGTCAACTGCTTTCTATATTAATAATTGATAAACACTTTCTGATTAGAGCTAATAAATTCCTGTGATTTTTTTATGTAACATTTAGAATTTAATATTTTTTAATCAAAATAAATAATTAAATCATTAATATTTTTAAAAATATGCGAACATAGTTTGTTAAGCGTAGGAACCAGCAATCAACCATGGATCTTCATCTTTTCTTTTTTAGTCTATATAGGGAAAGCAATTACTCGCTTAGAATGGGAAATATACATTTTTTATTTTTAATTTAGATATAGTTTGTTAACACAGTTTGTTAGGATAAAGTTATTTCTTTTGTGTTTAAAAAAAAATTAAGACTTTGTTAAGATAGTTTTTAAAGATAGTGATTTCATACAAATTGCGATGGAGATTCAATTCATGATGAGAATTCCTCGACCTGTTTCAGTGATTTCATACAAATTGAAAGAATAAAAATGAAAACTCGCTGTTTTGGCCAACATCTCATTTTGCATTTTGATTTAGTTTTTGGTTTGAAATTGAGATGTGATTTAAAATGTGTTTTGAGAGGAATTTAAAAAATTATTTGGATAGATCTATAAACTCCATTATAGCAAAAACCATTTTTAACCCAAAATTCCAAGTGTCAAATTATCCTTGAATTTCAACTCAAAATTCCAAATGTCAAACTATCAAAAAAAGTTTGTCAAAATTATAAAACCATTATCCAAAATAAAATTAATTTCTTAAACGTTAAAAAAAAATGGAAGTATCAGAATAGTGTCCTTAAAATTCCAAGTGTCATGGTGTCTTTAAAATTTGTCCCAAGAACAAACGTCTTTAGGGGAAAAAAAACTACTCATCAATATCTCCCCTAAATTTTAGACATGCAAAACCAGAACCACTTCGTTTAGTAACTTTTCATTTTTTTTTCAAAAAAAAAAAAAAAAACCATCAATCTTCCCATGTCTCAAATTCAAATTCTTCATTCATGTACCTTAAAATCCCAGCAAATTAAATCTATTTGCTTTGACTTTTCGAATTGGATTTATTTTTTTTCTCAAACAATCTTTGTTTTGGGTTTAAGTTCTAAAACATAGTTGCAAAAGTTTCTCAGTATGTAAATACGTTATGGTTTACCCGTTCATTCTTCTTCTTCGATTGGTTGGAAGTGGCGACCTTGGACAACAATCAGCATCAATGAGGTTAGTTCCATTTAATTTTCTTTTCTTTTTGTGGCTCTTTGTATTAAGATTTTTTTAGTGTAACATCTAATATTTTAGTTGTTCCAAAAGAAAATCTAAGTCCAACCGTTCTCTTCAATTCAGATCTAACCGATATGGATAATCAGCGATGGCACTGACCTGATACCTGTAATATAGCATAACGGAGAGACGTCATAAACTTTGGCAAAACAAATTCAATTCCTTTGCTGGAACAAAATTTGTAAGGTCCTGAATTGTTGGAGAAGACAAATCCAACAATAACTATGGAAAAAATTGATAGATTCTATCAACCTTATCAAGGTACAAAAAGAAAACTTCTCTTAATAATTTATCGTTCCTTGAATAGTACTGTTTGTGATGTTTTTGTTTCTGGATCTTTTTCAAAATTACCATGAATTAATTAATCTGATTCTCAGGGAAGGAAGTTGTGATTTTTTAATTTTTTGGTAACTTGCCGTGATTTTTTCTTAAGTTGGATCCATTTTTATTCTTTTTTGGAGTATCAATTCATGGTTTTCCTTTGTACAGGTTGCTGTGAATTAAGCTTTTGCAATGGAAGATGTTGTGAGTTTTGATTTTCGTCCTTTAGTACTTCCACTCCTTCGAGGTTTTGCTTCAAAAGTAGAATAATTAATGGAAAATAATTATTTCAAGACCCTAAATCCTACATAAAAAACGATGCAAATTGGTTGTATCTGAAGGCTGTTTTTGTTCAGGGGATGTTCGGAAGTTAAGAAGAAAATAAAAATACCTCCTTAATGCCTGGATGAACTTGGGACAATTGAAACTCTGAAATGCCTGGATGAATCCTCAAAATAGTTTATCACATTAAAGAGAATCTTTTAGGTTGTTTGGCAAGTTTTCCAATGATGCTGCATGAGTCTTGGAGAGACAAATTTTACTGCACTTCTTTTTTTCCCTTCTGTTGTCTTATAGAACTCATGACAACAATGTTTAACATAAATATTATGTACAGTTCTTGCTCCGTTTCCATGATAATAATTTTATAAATCAAGAAAGTGCTAATTTCTTTTATGAATTGGAGATTAATGTCCTTTTTTCTAAAATTGAATTTGACTATTCTAATTATGTGAATTATTTTAAAATTTTTGGTCAAACCAGTGCGAATGCACGGGTCCATAATCTAGTTTTTAATTTAAAGGAAGAAAGATAATCAACACGTGTCCTTTATTGAGACCATCAAGTCTCACTTTCAACTTATTGTCATTTTAGCTCTTAAAGTTATATTTATGTGCTACTTAGTTTTCAAGTTTATCGATTTTATATTTTCAAGAACGGTTAATTGCGTCTAATCCCCAAAGTCCATTTGCCTATAAATAAGCCATAGGCATTTAGACATAATTTACGTATTTTTTAAATATATTTTTTAATCCAAACATAACATTAGTTAGTGGTGATAATTTTTATTATACAACTTTTGAAAATCTTTGTTGTAATATTTTTGGTCAGATCTTACAAATATACATCTCATAAATAATATCAATACCTCTCATTTTGATCTAAAATTGATTAATCAAAAAAATATTACGGTTTTAAGAAATATTAGCAGCTACATTATCTAATTAATTCTCTTGGAAGATAAATTTTCAATATTAACAAACCCGCGCAAAACGCGGGACACGTACTAGTATTTTTTAAAAAGTAAGTTAAATTGTTGTTTGGATAGTTTATTAGGTTTTGTGTTTAAGAGATAAAATCAGATAAAAAAGCAAAACAAATGTTGGCTAGACAAGACCGAACGGGGGAGGTTGCTTTTTCCATTTTTACCTTTTTGAGAATTGAAATGGATTCTTAATTGAGGAAAGAAAAACTGTATGTAAAACGAACCCAAAGTAATGATTATTTTATTTTATGATTTTGAGGTATAATCAGGATAGTGGTAAGATGGAAATTGAGATAAATTAATACAATAGAAGGGGTAAGACTGTCATCAACAATATATTTAATGTATTAAAATAATTCTATGTCTTCAATTGGAATTTCTAAAATTCACCCCTATTAAGAATTATAAAACTTGTAGCGTCCTTAATAAGACTTTTCCCAAAAAAAAAATTCTTACAAAAGTTGTTTATGCGATGGTGTTACTGTTGCCCGAAGTGAAGGACCCAGCAATAATTGTACAATCCCGAAAATAAGACAAGATCAAAATGAAAAGGAGGCCATCACTAATGAAGATCTCAGACCTACACTAATAAAACCAAAAGGGGAGGAAGAAAAGACAAAAAGAAGACAAAGATTTAAGATTCTCTATCATTAGAATGAATTATCCATTGTAGATGAAGAGTGTAGTGTTATGTACAACAAAATATTCTGTCGAACTGTGAATTCCGATCAATACTAATGCCATGATCAGCAAGCCTTGCAGCTCTTCCTGCAATAACCAACAGTTTCATCTGAACCCACCATATATGTGGGATTCTTAACACATTCACCTGCTGTAGCCCACTGGGCGCAATTTGGGTTCTTATCAACACATTCATCAGCAGGTCTGTCGAAATTGCTCACATGAATCCATTTTGTGGCAGACCATTTCTCTCCTTGGATTACAGGACAACTTCCATGCAAGCTCAAAGGGTCGGTTGTTGCATCAGGATGTAGACTGAAAAACAGCAACGCGTCACCCTTATTGGGTTTTACTGCAATGGAAGCCAATTCATGTCAAATATCTAAAAGCAGAAGGTGATGAAATAAATGTATCCATTTCATCACCACTATTAGCAGTATCGAAATTACAAAATCTACCTCCAAGTTAATGTGCAAATATTCATTTACAGTTTCAGATTCATATGCATACAAACAAATAGCATTCTCATTTACATGTTATCCAGCAAAATCGACCAACTTTCAAGAGTTCTGCAGGCACAAGCATCTCTCACCTAAAGCATACCAAAATATTCTTAACATTTTAGACAAAAATATGTCAAGACACACATGGCTATGCAGACGTGCAAAGATTCTTACTACGAAATATTTGCACAGACATGCATGGGTCTGAAATCAGACCATCTTCTTCAGAGAAATCCAATAAAGTTAGTTTTATCTTCTTCGGAGAAATACAATCAAGCTAGTTAATTTTCATCTTCAGCGAAGTACCATCAAGTTAATAACAGAGCTAAGAGCCTGGGGATTTAGTTGCTACTGTTTCTATCTACACTTTCCACTGTAAGTAATAATGAAATGAAGCTTGGGGCAACATTAAAAAAAAAAAACCCTATCTTCATTCATCCCTTCCTTAGCAAGTGAGTTCGCACAAAAGTTGTTCCTTCGAAAGCTCCGAGTAAATGGCACTTCCCATTCAGAACGATAAATTGCAAAACACACAAGTTCTACTAGATTTTTGCAAGTTTCCGAATTAAGCTTACCAGCATAGCCATTTTTAGCACAGTCAGACCAGTCGTCACCCTTTGGCTGGGTATCTTTTTGCTGGAGATAATAGAGCAAAATATACATCAACGTGCAGGAGCATAGAGAAAACGGGAAATGGAAATTTTTTATAGAATCTAGTAAATAAAATGAAAATAATAAGTAATTTCCAGTACCTCTGAATTGGGGAAAACTGTTTCTCCACCCTCACCGACATCTGATAAATACATAAGCACAGTAGCTACTCTATGACCACCCAATTTCTGATTTTCCTTGTCATGGAAATAATCAAAATGCGGCTCATACTTTTGCCCATGCTCATAATGCAGTATTTGCATAGCCTCCCCATTCTCTATATTTCAAATTGAGTTCAACAATGAATATTCGTTTTCTAACTTCACAATGATAAAGATCACCAAGAACCAGCTATTCTAATCAGATAATTTACCAACAGGAAGAAATGTCCAAGCAGCAATCCTCTCCTCAATACCAGCAACAACTTCATCCTGACACGGAAATACAGAGAAGCTTTGTTAGCCATTCCATTTCAATGCTAAAATTATTTGACCTTTGACAATTAGTCCGTATAACTTAACCAGGACAAAATGGAAATTTTGGATACTTGTTAAGAATGAAGCTATCCACAGTGATTAGTTTAAAGAGTTTTCATAATATATTTCATACAGAAGAAAAAAGGTAATGCAATATTGCTGATAGTACGAGTCAAAAAATAAAACAGATCTGCAAAAAGTAATAGCCCTCAAAACAAAACAATGGATCCAATTAAAGATCGATATTGGAAAGTTTGACCAGTGAAGCAAAATTGGACGACATAGATGGATAAATGATCTTTCTTATCAAAGGACACAATCAAAGGGAAAGAAAAACAAAAATAAAGGACAAGCAGTATCAATTGCTTGAAGTGATCCAATTAAAACTAAGGAAATTGGGCAGTATATTTAATACTCCAGTCAAGTACAATAGTTCATAGAGCCTAAATTTAATCTCTTCGAAATCTCCCTTCACAGCTCCTCAGATGACTAACCTGGCATTTCCTTAGGAACGTTCTAAATTTAATAGTTTATAACATTTCTTACTGAAAAATGATACAAGGAGTAAAACAGTAAAAAAGAAATACGGAACTCAAAAAGGAGTCCAAAATCAAGTTTAAGCATTGGCAAAGTTAAACTACTAAGCTAAATTAAGCTTAATAGGTTGATGGAAGACATGCATTTATGTTAACAGGAGAAAAGAAAACAAAAGAAAGGCATCCTCTTATCATCAACTATGTTTAGTTAGGGGAAGAATCAGGAACTGGCATGGTTGCTTGAAATGTTCCAAATAAGAAATCAGTAAAATACAGATATTGTACTACCACAATCAAGCACAATCTTGTGCAGAAAAATTTACTTCTTTCCCCCAACCTCCCTTCACAAGTCTCCAGGTGACTAAATGTGATTCATGCAAATATAAATTTACCAGAGTACACGAAAAAGGTTCCAGCAAATACTGAACCAGAAAACTAAACCAACTAGCCATCACAAACGTACCACTTCGAGGAACCAAAAGAAGATAAAAGAGGCGCTAAACTATGAATTACAAATATTAGTCAATCAAAAAAAGAATAAGACAAGAAGTGGGCGCTAACCTGATGTTTTCTCAGGAACATTCCTGAACTCGTCCGAACTTCACTCTCTATGCTCTTACCAGATTCATTGTCAGCCACCATTGATTTCTCCAGCTTATCCTTGGCCTAACCAGCCACAATAAGTAGTAGGTCAAGCTAGGGTCATCATTTTTCACCCAAAATAATACTCCTGTCCCCGTTTGAGCATTTTTAGTACAATTTGAACTAAAATTGAAAATCTAAACTGGTTTTTCATGACGGAGGGAGTATCTCAAAAGCTTACAATTTTTAGAAAACTACTATGCTCTATAAAAGATATGGTTTTCAAAGAACCCCCTTCAAAATAACAACCAAAAGAGATGAAAAATGGGTTCAAAAGTTAATTAGAGACACTACTCAATCAAATTAAGAATAAACCAACAACATGGGACGCTAAAGGTGATGAATTTCTAATCCCAGTTCATTTATTACAGAGAAATGCAAGCACAAAAAAACATAACTTTGACACTTCAACACCATGAATTTGAAATTAAGCATTGCAAATCCCCCAATATTTCAGTTATTCTCGAGGACATACTGTCAAGATCAAATTTTGATAACCCCAAAAAATTAACACTAACGAAGAAATGATCAATAAAACTAACCAGGGTAATAAGATGATCACACTCCTCACTTGTCAAGAACTTTCTGTATATAAAAGCCCTGCAAAAGTCATGTACCGAACCATCATCAGCGCCTCAACGTGTCAAATCCCGGTATAATTAAAACTATCATTTCCAAAGCTCAAATGTCAGAAAGAAAAAGATAGCAGTAAAAAGAGGGAAGATCGGAACAGAAAAATACCTGGGCCGCCAAGAAATTTGGGTGACCCGGGTTGGATCAACAGTAATTGGGGACGCATCCGTTTTCAATTTCAGCACCGACCCATCACTGACAAACACCACATTAAACAAAAAATGAATACCGGTGAATGAAATCAGGAAGCTGCATTATTCAATTTCATTACAAATCAATAGACGAGAAGCGGAAAGAAAGAAAAGAAAACCGAAGAAAACTCACGTATGCTTCCCCCCCTTGCGCAATCCAGAGAATTGGGCAGCCGAAATAGACAGATCAGACAGTAGAAACAGGGGAACTAGATACAGAAACAACACAACAACACCCCGAAGATCCATTTTTCCAAAATGGGTTTCGAACTTAAAAAATCTTGAGTTCGGGTAAAAAAAACACTTGAAGAAGTTACTGTTGACAGGCCAAATTATTGAAGGAGCTGCCGGGTAAATAAAAAACTCTTCTTTCCTTGAAGAAGATTACTGTTGATTTCGGTTTTTCTACTTCTTCTTCTGCACACAGCTCTTTGGTGAGTGGTTTTAGGAAATCAATGGGGTTATGCCCACCGTATTAAAAGCTCTTCACGTTTCGAGTTCTTCTGACTTCTGACTTTCTAACAAGCTAGCGAGCGCAACATAAAGAAAAGTCGTCGTCTTCAAAATCACATGGAATATTTTTTTCTTTTTTTTGTATTCGTATTTCCGTGTTCCAGTTGTTCTCGAAGATTCGTTCGTTATGGTACTGTACTGGTCCTGAGATTGGTGGGAGCCCAACAGGCCCAAACCCAAATAACAAACAGAAATGGAAACGGTCCTTCTAGATTGAACACACATATTCTGCAATCAGAATATACTGTATATATAATAATTGTTGTAGTATTTCTTTACTAGCATACAGTTTAGACCATCTGGTTTTATGTTGTACTTCTACTTCTCACACATTTTATCTGAGTTACTCGTTTGATTACTTTTTTTTCTTTCCCGCTCAAAAGTTTCCGGTGCAAAATTTCGGATTCTTTACATCCCAAAGCTACCGTATTTGCATGTTTTGTAAGAAACACAAATTTTTTTCTCGAATTTTGAAATCGGCACTCAGGCAGGGAAGAATGACACTTGTTCCTTACTACAACATGTTGTAATTTAAGGGTGCAATTTGACATTGAAAATATTCTCTCTGTTTCAAACTTGTTGTTCAGTCATTTCTCATCAATGTTTTATTTTAATATCTTCATCATTATTATTGTTTTACAACAACATAAACACACGTTAAGAAATTTCTACGTAATATACCTACTTTGAACCATGTGTGTCTTGGAGTGTTTTGAATTTTTTGAATTGGGCAAAAAAAAAGCTAAAATGAGAAAAATATCCTTTTGACAAGTATCGATTCAAAACTTGACCGTTAACTTTTCAGTTTTTAACGGTAACCGGATGAAAAAGGGACAAAATACAATCTTCGAACTTGTGGTGACATTTAAATTGTCTTTTAATTTAATAGGGGACTTTTTGGACAAATTAGTGAATGGCAAAACATGTTTTTGAAGTATTGACTTTTATCTTCACAATTTATTGTGGTAGAATATCTATAAATTAAAAGTATTGAGACAATCAAAAAAATTATATTAATTTAGAGAATTATTAAAATAATCGATAAATTATTAATTTAAAGAATTTCTATAAGAGAAAAACCCCTCAATAAATTACTTAATTTGTAATTATCTTAACCTCCGAATCAGTCAAGTAGTAAAACTCTTATAAATGCTAAAACTCCATACATAATTATATTATCTTTAGGACCCAAAAAATCAATAGTGTAGATTTTACTAAAAATTTATAGTTTCGATTTTTTTTTAATTTTTTTTTCACAGGTCCCAATTAAGACCGCAGAAAATTATTAATTATTAAAATTTATTAATTTATAGATTATGAATTTTCTAACCGTACTCCCTCTTTAGTCTTTGTGAAAAATAGATAAGTTCTTACAATTGTTATATAGTAAACCATGGTGTTTGTTGTAATGTGAACCAAATGTGTAGGTACGTGCTAATTTTAGCTATATTTTAGGAAATTAAATAGGGGAGCAGCGTTTGTTATCACGCAGTAAAAATTTATGGAGAAAAATAAGGAAATTTGTTTTAGGTCCCGTTTGATAAAACTTTATTTGGGTCTGAAGTCTGAAATCTAAAAACTGAATTATAAGTACCGAACTGATTAAGTTTGTCTTGTTTGATAAAAATTAAAATCTGAAGACTGAATAAAATGTCTGAAATCTGAAGTCTGAACACTGAAATGAAAGTATCTCAACTTGTAATTTTATTTTTAAAAAATAATGTATGCATATATATATATATATGTATGAAACTATGACTATAAGATAATAGTATAATTATAAAATTATGTGATAAAAATATTTAAGTTTTATCATGTAATCATTTTTTTTAGTTAATAATAATATTATATCTTTTTTATTATCAAAAAAATATCATATCTTCATGATAAATATATATTTAATGAACTATATTAGTCTTTTATTTTTTATATAAAATAAATATTTATTAAATAAAAATAATTAAATAGATTTTAATTTATAACTAAACACTAAGATTAATAAAATATTTCAAGATAAAATATCAAAAGTATAAACACGAAAGTAAATAAATATATATATATATATAAAAGAAAATCGTCCCATTAATTCAGTTCAGGCATAAGTGATAGGCCTATCACTTATTTTTAGACACATATTTGTACTAGCATTTCAGACTCACTTAATTTAGTAAGAGATCTTAATATGAGCTATCAAACGCACTAAAAATTTAAGTTCTTAATTGGTTAAGTTTTTAATCAATTAAGTTGTAATGAGATTGTATTATCAAACAGTGTCAATCAATTAAGCTTAAGTACTGAATGAGTTTATCAAACAGAGCCTTAATCTTTATCTTTAATTCAAATTACTTTTTTCTTTTTCAAAATTATCCATTAAATAGAACTCTTCTTTCTCATCTTTCACTCTCGGTTGTAATCTTTCTCAAGTACCGGCGAACAATTTCTATTGCTGCTGTATGATCATCATTGTTGCCGCCATATGTGTTCTCATCAACTAAGGAAGAGAGAAAGGTTCTTATCTTTTTGTTTTTGTTTTAATTGATAACTAGAATTTCATAAAAAATATCATATTTTTCATAAATTTTACTAATCTCGACCACTGATTTTTCTTTTTTCTGGTGATTTGCTTAAATATAAAAGCAAAATCTCAATTGATACTTGAAGTTTGTACATTAATGATTAATTTTTTAAAAAAAATTTGGCTTTTGAAGCTTCAATCATCAGTTTGTGCAAAATCTCTTTTTTCTGATTCCTTTTTTGATTCAGTGTTTTCATACTATATTGGGGAATTCACCATTTTTTTGTGTGTGTAGATTTAACTTGTTTGTCAAGTCTGGAATTAGTTGGTTTAGATGATGTATTTGCATTAATACTCATTCATAATAAACTTGATCGTGCATAAAATTTTCCAGAATATGGCATATTGTTTGCCTATTCATTCATTTCGTGTTTGCTCTTCATTCATAACATATTGAGTTTATGTTTATGGATCTTGGCCTATATAATCATACTAGTTTTTTGGTTTCTTTTTTTTTTTTTCCCACAATATGACTCAATATTTATTGTTGACCCTAGACAAAGTAAAAGTATCTGAAACGTGTAATAAATTACTTGATTTGCTACACTTTTTTGCTGAAGAAAGCCCCCAACGACGCACCAAATAATCAAATCCAAGCAGCAAAATGTTACAGTTGCTACAGTAGCGCGCCTAATTTGCTGCGCTACTGTAGCAGCAGCAAACCCCACGTTTTTCCCCCTTTCCCCCCTTTTTTATTTTTCTTTTTCTTTTTTGGTTCTTTTTAAATTATTTTTTATAAACCTATACAATTATATTTTTTCTTATTATTGATGCACTTAAAGTTGTAAAAATTTAATGAATAATCTTAACTTAATTATTTTAAATGTAATATTTATTTTGCATTTGTTTTAATTCGATAATGTAATATATTCATTTGCGAGAATATATGAATTTTATTTTTAGAGTTATTAATCGATTAACACAAATTTTATTACTTATTACTTAATTGATATTTAAATAATTATTTTCATATTTAATGATATGTAGTTCCAAAATAAAAAAAATAATTAGGTTAGTTAATGTATTAATACAAATAATTTAATTGGTTTTTTTTTTAATATAAATTAGTAAAGAATGATAGGACGAGAGAATATATAAAGAATATTCTATATTGATGTAAAAATTGGTGTTGTGGGTTGGAGAAGACAACACTGTAATACGCAGCAAAACAGGAAATTTAGTTATTTGGTGTACAGCAAAAAAATGCAAAGCTGCAGATGCTATAAAAAAGTTTACATACTTTTCTTCGATGGTTCATACATATAAAATAACTCGTTTATATGCTTTACGTTCGCTTAATATTCGGAAGAGTTCTATGCCACAGATCATGGTGCTTTGAAGTTCATACTACTATATTTTGAAGTTCACATAAAAATATCACATGTTTTTTTTTTTTCTTGAAAATGAAAAAAAAAAGATGTATTTAGAAAAAAAAGATATATGACCAATAATTTTGAAGTTCAACATATTTTTTGAGTGTGTACATTTAACTTTATTTCGTGCTTTTTTAATTCTAAATGGCATTTAGAAATTTGTCAAGCAATTTGTTTTCATATTAATAACCTATTGTTCACATATTTTTTTTGTTATAGTTCATAATCTGATAGATTTATTTATAGCAAATAATATTAAGTAGGGGTTGTTAATTATATTTTAACATGGCATAGGTCATATATATTTTTGTTATAGTTCATAATCTGATTTATTTATTTATAGCAAATAATATTAAGTAGGGGTTTTATTCATCATATTTTTAGTTTTTTTCTTTTATGTCCCTATTAGTTATTTATGTAGAAGCTCATACAATAATGTTTTAAATTCATATACACATTGTGTTTATTGGTCATACATAATTTGTTAAATTGTTAGATTTATTTAGGCAATTCGTATCTTTATACATTTGTTGATGCGACAAATATTTAGTGTTCATACACATAAACTTTAATTGTCACATACATTCTTGAGTTTTTATTCAATTTATAGCTTTTTTGACATAAATATTTATACGTTTTTGCTTTAGAGTTCATACATATGTTCAGATTGATTTTCAGATGTTCATACACAAACTGTATAATGTTCATATTTTATATGCATTCAAGTTCATATTTTTATTGAGCAATATAACTTTAAAATCTACTGTACTTACTAACTTATCTATTTTAAAAATTATTTCATCAAAATTTTATTTTAAAATTCCTCATAATTGTTGAAATTCAGGTAATCATGACAAAATGAATAATGATTTAAAGTTCAAACTGATTACATAGAAAGAGGATACTTAAAATTAGGAGGTTTAAGATTTAAGATAATTATGAAAAAGAAAATATACCACTTGCTAGTTGGGAGAGTGAGCAATACCTGCTCTTTTAGCTCACATTGTAAGATGGACCATGGTCCATGACATAATTTGCCCAGTTCATATTGCGACTTTTATGGGTGTTTATTTCCAAAGTCACCACCTTTACCACTTGAAGCCACATATTTTAAAATTGGATAATTTTATCTTTATTATTTTTTCAAATCAAATAATTTGACTAGAGAGAAAATAAAAAAAAAATTGAAAATTAAAAAAAAATTGACCGACCGGGCGGTCCACCCGTCCCGGGTTAGCCCGGGACAGGTTCATTGCTCGGCCGGTCCCGATTCGGTCCGATATGGTAAATCGGACCGATCAGGCCCTTTTTTTTTAATTTTTAAAATTTTTTTTTGGTTTTTTTTTTGTAATTAAAAAATAGCAATATTTGTTATTTAAAAAAGTCTAAAAAATAAAAAATATCAATCGAATTCATTGTTATTTTTTTAATTTTTAGATTTTTTGTTGTAATTAGTTAATCTAGTTTTTAGGTCATTAGATTTATTAATAATTTATTCTTTTAGTTACATTAAGTATCACCAACCTTTGTAGTACAAAAAATAGTTAATCTATTTGCACATATTTATCACAATCTTTGTAGTACAATTATTATTTTTCATTATAAATGTATAATTGTTATTTTAACTAAAAATTATCTTTAAAATAATGATTAAAACAAAATTTATATTTTAATATCAATTCAAATAAATTAACTTAACAAATAATCTTAAATTTATTTTCAAGTAAAAATTAATTATTTATTTATTTTCAAGTAAATATAAAATCGAGAGTTTAAGCACTAAAGTATAAATATTGTTAATCATATTTAAAGTACGAGGTATTCAATATGTAACGATACTACGAATAAATTATCATTAAAATAAAAATTAATAATTTATCCGTTCTCACGTGAATCTGACCGAATGACTTGCTCGGTCCGATTCGAGTAACAGGGACAAAAGGGAAATTCTTCAAAATTGATGGCTTCAAGTACTAATTTGGGTGGCTGGAAAATCCACCCGCACTTTGATTTCCTCCTCCGATCTCTATAGCCAAGACAGACCTAAAGAGGATCCTCGATTTGTGAGTATCATCCTTGCGCGGGGGCCATTCTAATCTTCTCTGTACCGTTCCACTTTTATCGGTGGGGTTTTGTGAGAATGAGGCAACAGTATGGGTTTGGGATTTTGGAAAGGGTGGTTGCCCCCCTCTGTTAGTCAATGATTTACCCCGTTTGGGATCCGACCAACAGCCCTTCTAAACGATGATGATGATAATAATTAGACTAAAATCTTAAACTGGAGTTGAGATGGTTGTTTTGATGACGATCTTTGATGGGAAAAAGAGGCTGTGATGATTTTTTTTTTTTTTTTTCTGGATACTCTTTCTGAGCAGAATGAATTCCGGCACTTGAGACAATCCGACCCGTATCTTGGCAGGGCAAAACCCTGATGGCACGGTTCATCTGTGCAACTGGGTTCAATTTTACAGCCATGGCCTGGGTTAGTTGTCTCAGTCTGGTAGTTACAATATACAGATCTGAGCCTTAAAAGTTGTCATTCTTTCCAAACTAAAATCTCTCTATGATTTTACAGTTCTTTAGTTTTTGCCCATTTTCTTGTGGAATGTTTGGTGATTTAACATTACTCGAGTTAATTTGTGCTCATCATTATGTCATGATGATTTAATTGTTCAAAATTCAGCCTCTTTTTTTTTTTCAATTTTTATTATTATTTTCATTATGTGACGGATGGAAAATGTGTTATTCCAAAGGGTAGAAGTCAAGACTTTGATTGTTCTTATCTACGAAGTTCAGTTCTTCATAAGCAGCAACTAAATCTACTATCACTAGGGGGGTTCATCATTTGATATGATATATTGAGCAAAATTCTGAACTTCTGATGTGATACATGCCTTTTGTTTTAAGTAGTAGAAGCTCATAGGCAAAACTTGGTGCGGATACCTAGTGTTTTGATGATTCGCTCTTTCCTAATCATTATGTGCATAGTAGTAGATAGGGTCTCGGGGTTCTAGTAGCTTTAGCTGCATGATGGCCGTCTCTTTTCCCTGTTTCCCCCTAGGAAAAGTTTTTCTTTCCTTTCCTTTAATGCGAATTGAACAGGTCAGTTGCATTTTTTAGCAGCCCATGATCTTGTTTGCTGCAGCAAGTTTAGGTTTTTCCGAGACAGTACCATCGTTTCCTGCCAAAGCTCGATACTTGTCCTTTCGAGTGAAGCTGGTGCACTCATAGGATAGAGTTGAGGCGATCATCCTCTGGATATAGTTAGCTACATCATGGCTTGGTTTTCCGGCACCACAAGTCAGCTCTTGAGGCAATTTGTTCAGAAAAGTTACTTCATAAACAGGGCTAGGATTCATGAAAAAGTAGAAGGGATCCATTCCTTTCCAGCCTCTGGCAGTTGTCCCATGAAACATGCTCATCCTGTTGTTCATTGCCACAGGAACCAGCTCATCTGTTAACTCGGCAAACAATGCTGAAAATCTCAGTAGAAATGGTTCCCTGCAAGTTGTTCCTTCAGGGCATATTGCCAAATCTCCTTCCTGTAGGAGATTCTTGATCATCTTGGAGTCCTTGACACGATCGCGATTGAGTCTCACTGTTTTGATGGGTGAAATGATCTCTGAGAGGCGTGAAAGCGAGTATGTGACTGCTGGAATTGGACGGCCAAGAGCAGCTGAAAGAAAGATTGGATCGAGAAGTGTTCTGTGGGAGCAAACAAACAGGACACCAGTTTGGCCTGAGGATTTTTGTGCTGGTGGAGGTGGTGTTCCTTTGATGATGACTCGGACTCCAAGTGCCCTGAAAGCATAATAGACTAGTGACATTGGCAGGAGTGCCCCGGCAGCAATTCGCAGGCAGGCTAGGGGGAAGGCAATTGGTATCCAGAGAATGGTTAAAAGTGCCATCAAAGGACTTGGTTTCTGGACAAGCCGACCATCATGGAAAACTATTGGTTTTGGCAACCTGTCAAGGCTCACTGGCTGAACTTCCTGGGCAGCTGGAACTAGGTAGCTTTCCTGCATCAGCAATTTATGTAAACTTTAATGAGATGCATATTTTAACATAGCATATGTAGAACTCTAGAAATGGAACAAACCTTGCAAAGAGCCATGAATGCAAAATCTGTTCTTCGATCACCAATGCCTATGTCGGGGGATGATTCAGCTTCAAAATTCTTTTTCAAGGCATCGGCCTTGTTTTTGCCCACAAGTACACCAGGGCCATCTACTAATCCTGTAGCTCTACCCTTGTAGGTTGATATCTCTGTTCCTAACACCATATCTGCGCCTAAATATTCCTTCAAAAATGGCTCTACCATAATCCTAGGATTTGCTGTTAGTACACATTTCTTCCCACACGACGAGAAGATACGCCATGTTTCTGGATGTAAATCGCTAGAATAAAATTTGGGTAAGACAGCACGTGCCACTGACTCAATGCTCGAGACCTTCATCCCAGCAAAGGTCGCGAATATAAGTACACGAATACCTGCAGATTCAGAGATGAAATAGTACAAGATTCCCGCAACGGGAGAGGCCAGCAGCAAGAGGATCAGGCGAAGAATTCCACCAGCTTCAAACGCGACGAGTGCGAAATAAGGGAATGAGCTGCGCCCTATGAGTAATGTTCCATCCATATCAGCTACTACGGCCTGGTTTTCGCGCCCAACGGATTCACATTTGTCTACTGGTGGAAATGGACAATCTATATTGGCCATAGCTATGAAGTGTGAACTTTCAGATTGTTTAGTTTCTGGGCTGAGTGTTGTATGAATTGAACACTCCGATGAAATTGTTGCTGAAATTGGATGGAATGAATTGTAGTTGTGTATATATAGTAGAGCTACTACTGAATAAAAGTGGGACGATGAGAGTTTATTATAATAGATGGAGCTATATGGGACAAGTTTAGAGTTGATGAGAACAATGGTCGCAGCTACAACATTTTTCACACTTTGCTTAGGATTCCTCTTGGAGTTTCCAAGATTTTTTATTTTGTTTTCTTCCCGTTTTGATATGATTAATTGACAACAAAGTCCAGTTTAGTGGTAAGACATACGGGTTCGAGTCCTGCCGAAGGCAAATGGGGAACCACTATTGATTTCTTTAAAAAATACAAAATAAAAATAATGTAGTGATTGAAACCAAAAGATCTCAATTGTTCAATCGTAAAGTACAAATTCACCTGGTTTCGAGTCGTGTTTATAAATTGAACTACCTCATTGAGTATGGCGTTTGTCATTTCAGATTCAGTTTACCCTCAGACCTCAGATCAAAATGCACAAAGTTTTAGGTTGCAGTAAATAGTAACTAATCGCCTAGTTTTGAGATTAGCATATTCCAATATTACTATGCAACATTTTCATTTAGCGAACTGATCAAGAAAAGATGCTTGAATTGGTACCATAACCCATACTTGTTTGAGCACTAATTTTGCTGAGTATGATGATTGTCATTTTCCAATGCATTTAGGAAGCATCGTCCATCGGTTGCTGGTGTTTTGTCTAGTTTTGTGAATAAGGATAAACTCACTATATAGTTCACATCGAAATTTCGGGACATTATATTAATTTTGTAATTTTCAAATCTGTGAAAAGAGCATGAAGGAGAAGGACCTATATGACTTGATATGCATCCAAAAAGAAATTTGGTTTATAATATAAGTAGACTTTCGGGCGTAAGATGCAATGTTTTAATTTTAATTTTCTTAGAAATTCTTGACTGATACCTCTCGATGATAATATCGATATTTAGTCTTTTCTCTTTGAATTTGTCTTTATTGCATATTGTCTTAATTGTTAAGTTGATATGAAAGTAGATAGTTTAGAAGAGAATAAGTATGATAAGTTTACCCGATTTTTTTTTTGTTTTTTTGGAATAACTTCGTTAATCACGACTTGATTTCTCATGCAAGTAAGATAATGGGATCTGATTAGCTGAATTTATTTTTATTTTATTTTTACAGAGAAATGAGACATGAGCCTAAATTAGGATACTAGCACACTCCTTGGATTAGAAACACGCAAGATGTCATGTTATAACCAAGGAATCGCACCACTAGGAGGGTCTGCCAACTGAAACAATCCTCCAAGATCACCCGAAGCATAAGAAGCAAAAAAATCCGTCACGAAATTTTACCTCTCGATACTCAAACGATACGACAACTTCTCAGTTATGGTTTAGCTGCTCCCAAATTGCTTTTAGTAGGTTTCTGTGAATTCCAGTAGCTTCCGCATTCTTTGAAACCAACTTCATCGCACATTGACTGTCAGTTTCCATCAAAACACGAGGAAAACTCAATTCCCATGCCAAATTTAACCCCTGAAACACTCCCCACAGCCCAACACCTGTGATAATATAATACCCAATATTCATAGTAAATCCTCTTAGCCATTTATATGATGATCTCTTATGACCCCGTCAGCACTCGCCATCCCCGTTCAAGGAAATCTAAAATAATAGTAATTATACGACTTAATTTTCACTCCGCGCTATTAAACTCATTATAATTAGCTTATTTTTTGTATTTTATTCCACAATTAATAATTAATTGAGCACGTGGTATTTTTCACAATTAAGAATTAAATTAATGATATACTACTACTTTTAGTTATCAAACACACTTATAAAAATTAAATATTTAAGTATTTAATTTATTAAGTTTTTAATTAACATCAAGTTATCAAACAGTGAATCAATTAATGTTGAATGTGTTTACCCTAAATCGGAAAAATTAGCGTTCATACCTAAAGCTTTGGGTCCATCGTCAATTCTACCCTATTAATTTTCAATTAGTCAATTTTGTCCTTACTGTTTGAAGTTTTTGTCAATTCCGCCCGATTGGCCTAATTTCCGTTAAACTTAACGGATTTCCGTTAATTTTTAACCAAAACACCCCGATAATTTCAGAAAATTGTAAAAATAATCCTAAAAATATATAAAAATAACAAAATAGTCCCTTTTTATTCATTTGTTCCTATTTCATTTTATTTGTCTTTATTACTTTTCATAATCATTAAAATATACTATATGATCTTTAAGAAAATAATAACTTATTTTCAAAATCTATTTTTCATGTGCAACACATGTTATTTGGGTTGAGGGGTAATTTTGTCATTTTAAATTTTAACATTTTAATTTTTTTTTTCATTCGTCTTTTTTTTGAAGTTCTTTTTCTTATATTTTCTGACTTGTATATATTGATCATGCAAAATGTGAATAACCACAGTCTTCGGGCAAATTTGGTGTTGGGTTATGCAGTTGCAGCAGCAGCCGCGTTGAGTTTGTCAAACCCTTTTATGCACCTCAATAAAGGAAGCCAGAAAGACAATGATGAACCTGGGTGGGGTGACGAGTCTGTCAAAGCAGATGATAAAAAAACATTAGAAAAGAAACCGGAAGAAAATGCTAAAAATCTTCGTGCAAAGTACCCTAGTAGTCATGTGTTAAGGACTGCTTTTGCTCTGCAATGTTTTGAACTTTCAACGAATCCTGGGGAGTTTTGCTGTAATAATGCCTTACACTTAAAGACCATGGAGGAAATGTCCAAGCTGAGGAAGCAGCTTCTTCAACTGATATTTAGCTCAAAAGTTTCAGATTGGCAATCAGAATTTGCATGGAGTCATGGGGAAATCAGTGATGTAGAAAGCGCGTGGAGGGACAAGGATCCTCTGTTGGATTGTCAAGAGGAGAAGATTTTACGCCTAGCCATCTTGGCCGGTTGGGCTGATAGAGTTGCTAAGCGCACTGGAAATTCGACAGATGGAGATAAAAAAGTTAATGCAGTCCGATATCAAGCTTGCTCGGTGAAGGAAACGGTATTCCTTCATCCAGGGTCATCTCTTTCCAAATCCGCCCCCAAGTTCTTGGTGTATTGTGATCTTTTGTTTACTGAGAGGCCATATATCCATGGAGCCACCTGCATTGAAGCATCGTGGCTTGCGAAATATGCTCAATCAATGTGTAGTTTTTCTAAACCTCATTCAAATTAGTATGACCGTGAAAAGGACCAAGTTTTCTGCCAGATTACTCCAGCGTTTGGCCCTCATTTATGGAAACTACCACCTGTTAGGATGCCTATCAAGATGATATGAAATGAGTGGCTGTGTCTGCCTTTGTTTCACTTGAAGACAAGTCCTGACAGCATGAAGCCTGTCCGGAAAGATATGTCAGCATGAAGCCTTTCCGGAAAGATATGTCGGAAAACCGGCTAACATTTGAAGGTTAAAAGCTAGAGAAATGAGTAGGGAATATTTTGAATACACTAAAGGGCGGCAATTATGAGAGGATAATCCTAGAGAATTGTTTTCAGAGGTGATCAATGATTTTCCACAAGATGGATTCATGGCAATCTTTCGACACGCCAGGTAATGGTTACGTTGATAAGATCCTGCGCATATGGAGGGGTCTGATGATACTGTAGGTTACAATCGGAAGAGCTGTTAGGTCTGCTGATTAAGAATTTTAGGAGGATTCATAGATTAATTGATAGTGTGTTGTACATGATACAATCGTCTTTATCTTTTTCGGCAAGTTCAGTCAAATGATATATTGAAACTTAAACAGTTTTTGCCTCTTATTACTCCATTACTGCAGATTTCCTACCTACAGCAAAGACTATGGATTTCAACTGATGATCCCCTATTCAAAATGTCGTAGTAATTAGAATTGTGGGAGCCTCCTTTAAGTTTTGATTTCACTTATTACATTAGAACCTAAGACCACTTTAATTCAGAATATTAAGTGTTTTGATTTCAGCTATTACATTAGGTGAATCATATCTCTTGTTATTTTGTGAAAATCATGTACATGATACAGAAATTATAATCGTGTCTATGCGTTCTATATTAGATTTGTCCTGTTGATATAACACAACTATCAGGTCTTAAAATATTGTCACTCGTCAATTTGAAAAAAAAAAAAAAAACCATCATACCACATGTACTGCTTCATGTTCTTGGGGAACAAAGTTGCGGATTATATATATTAGATGATTCCAAACTGTTAAATCCAAAGGATAATCGGGTTGTTTCTGGTGGGGTGGGAAGATGTGCATTGTTTTTCATGTCACGTCGAACTGTTTTTGTTGTGGAAAAAAGAATCATGCAAAAGTTGTTAAATAAGGGGAGCCAAGTTTACATGCATTTCATGCTTGATCAATTGTTTAAAATGATCTTCTGGGAACTAATTCTGTGAATCAGTGTGTGTGTGTGTGTGTGTGTAACAAAAAAGAAACTGCGTAATGCGCATCATCACCATTACATCAAATCCACCCTCTCATTCCATTTTCCTGTCCTAAAAAACAAAACACACAGTCACACACTAAAAGCTGCAAATTTCCATGCCCTGTGATGGGGAGGCCTCCTTGCTGTGACAAAGCCAATGTCAAAAGAGGCCCTTGGACACCTGAGGAAGATGCTAAGATTCTAGCCTATGTATCGCGTCATGGAATCGGTAACTGGACTTTGGTTCCTCAGAAAGCTGGTAAAATTTCAAACAATCTCATTCTTCATTTGTTGGTATAGATGTTATAATCTCTGTATTTACTGTGTGTTTTGGTATGAGTTTTGAAGGGCTCAACAGGTGTGGGAAGAGCTGCAGGCTCAGGTGGACGAATTATCTCAGGCCTGACCTCAAACACGACAATTTCACTCCTGAAGAGGAAGAATGTATTCTTGAACTTCACAAAACCATTGGTAGCAGGCAAGTTTCAATCCTTTCTTGTCCTCCTTCCTAATACAATAGGCCTAGCAAGCTGAAATCGAGAGGTCGGATAGTTCTTGTACTGAATTGTATTGCTTAAGATTATCTCATGGATTTTAGGCTTGTGTTAGAATTGCCCTTCCTGTTTCCTAGAGGTTTACTTGCACCTTATGTTGCGAAAAAAAGAATTGCTAGTTCATAACATCCCTAAAAGTGCAGGTTATTGGACTGTTTGTTTTCCGCTTTTGATCAATAGCGGAGTGTAGCTTTTTACATTTCCAATACAACGTTTTAATTTCTCGGATGTAAAAATCAAAATTGAAACGCTTACAGACACCATAGAGCTTGAGGGGAAATTTCAAGTTAATCTACTTCTTATGAGGCTTCTATGCTGCAGGTGGTCTCTTATTGCCCAGCACCTCCCAGGGAGAACAGACAATGATGTGAAGAATTACTGGAACACAAAACTGAAGAAAAAGCTCTTCAACATGGGCATAGATCCTCTGACTCACAAGCCCTTCTCTCAGATCTTTACTGAATTTGGAAAACTCAGTGGCCTCCCCAGCATCAGAAACCAGAATGCTGCTGAGCCAACATCGAATTCGGATCCCTTTTCACTCAATCAGGAAGTTCCAAATGCCAACAATATTGGCAACATCCGGATGATGGAACAATACGATCATCATTCATCATCAGTTGGTGGTGTCAATGTCCCAAATGAAATTGCAAGATCTCATTTTCGCCTCAACAGTCAAGAAACTATTCAGCCATATTTCGCACACGAAATCTCCTCTTCGATTTCATCTGCATCATCATCATCCGCGAGTAGTTCTATCTACTTTGGCTCGCAATCGCTCTCAAGCGAACCATCTCATCAGCTTCAGTTGGGACCGAGTTCGCCTCCTATCTGGAACGAATCCATCGACCATTTCCTATCCTCAGATGTTGAGCAGAAACAGGAAGATTGCAAAGTTGAGGGCACTTCATCTTTGAGCAGTTCTCCTACTCCAGCAGCTCACAGTTTCATCCATAAAGCCGAAATTGGCATGATTGATCATACTCCAAATGTTGAGGCTGCCAGTTCTTTTCTTGATAAAAAACCTGATCACTCCATGGAAGCTTCTTCTTCATCAGCTGCTGTTGATTCATTTGTGGATTCAATCTTGGCCCGTGACAGCCAGATGCAGCTGGAATTCCCTGAACTTTTGGATGGATATGGTTTTTACTGATTTTTCTTCCACCCCATTACAACAATCAAAACCATCAGATTCTGGTCCTTTGAATAAATGTTGCCCTGATTGGAGATTATATGCATGTTTCACAAGATTAATTTTCATAAGTTTTTACAGAACTCTTACTTTGGGACTGGAGGATGTAAGATTTTACAAAATGTTTTAAATTATTTGCTCCCACCTCAATTACAACAACAACAATCCATGATGAATTCCAGGACATCTTTTTGTATCTTAAATTGGCCCCCCTTTTTTGTTGAATAATTTTAATCTTTCATTAACCTCGGAAATACTGTTTGCATTGCACATACCTTGTTGTGCGGCCGCATATCATTTAGCTTTCATTAAATTCGAAGGTTACCAGCTTAGAGATGGATTGTTGTGAATAAAAATTATCAGTAAATGTTGTCAACGATGAATGTAATTTACATTCATCATGAAAATAAATAAGTACTCCCTCCATTTTTTATTATATGTCTTTCTAGAGAATTCATCAAAACCAAAAAGACATTAATTAATGTAGTTAAAATACAAAAACACCCTTATTTATTTTCTATACAACTCATCACAAACCAATAGTAATTCATTATAAGTATTGTTTCATTTCCAATGCAAGGTAACATTGATAAAAAGTTGTCAAATAAGCCTCGATTTGTGAAAACGACATATATTTTAAAAAGATCACCTAACCGTAAAACGACATATATTTCAAAATAGAGGGAGTATAAATAGAAATTCAATGTCTACAAACTTTAGCCAAACACTAGGAATTCGATTTAAGCTCGTCACATTTCAGAGCCTAATACAGTATATGTGTGGATATAGGAAATGTGATTTGAAGAACTTCCAACCAGATACCAATTTGGCAACTTTAGGGAAAGAAATTTCAAAAACTCGAAAGCTTTAACTCTTTTTATTCTTTTGTTGGAACGGAGATAAGTTTTAAATATATTGCGTCCCGTGTTTGAAATTAGTGCTTCAACTAATTCAAATTCGTGTGAACTAGGTTAAGGTTAAACGTCAAAAGAAAAAAAAATATAGCAGAGTTAGTGAAATTAAACTAGATCCAGTTGTCTCTAATTCAGCACATTTTGAGGCTAAATAAGTGCTTGAAGGTTAGTCAAAATTCAGTGGATAATATCCAGTGAATGACATGATAAATTCTCAAAAACCACTAGTGATTATTAACCACTAAATATTTTCTCCATGAATTTACGCTCGACCACATCTCAAAAAGCGAAAGTCCATATTAATCCATTTTCAAAACCTGCCAAACACGATTTTAAGACTCTGAACTTGCAGAAATTAAGAAAGACTTGCCAAATTTTTATGTGTGAAAAGATGTAAAAGAGATACAAAAACACATCATGGATAAAGAGAAACAAACCAAATAGTTGACGTCCTTTTTGGTGAATGTATGGGTTCATTACAGAGATCATCTTATTCATTCCGGCGACAAGGATCTTCGGGCAAGGTTTGGGATAGACTTCCTGAACGAGAGATGAATAAGGTTGGTCATGGACAATGTGTGAATGCAGCCAATGATTTCGAAATCAATCAACACAACAGATTCAGCCACGAGATCGATGACGACCGTTTAAGTTCTTCCCCTGTTAGTGCCACAAATGCAGCTGGAACAAAGGTGAATTCTGGCGGTATTAAGGGTCAAAGATGTTCTCTTGGGGCTATCTTTGGACGATGTGCTGGTTCTCCTGCAACTTAAAGACTCATATTCTTTGTAATCCAAAATTTTTGTCCTGGGATCCGCTACATTCAATCAATCTTAATATTACAGGATTCAGTTGTATTCATTTCCAATTTGGTTTAATCATTGTGTATAAAGTACTGTAATCATTGTTTTTGGTGAACCAATATTTTATCTGGAGTTCTCCTCATTCAACTTTCTGCATAGCTTAATGTTATTTTGTACTGCAAACCATTGTGATCAAATTGGCTTTGGTTGTTATTGGTTCTGCAAGAATAAGATATGCGGACTATTTCAAACAAATTGAATCCCGTTTCGCTTCTGTCTAAGGATCAAGAATATTGAAATTCCAAATGTAATGTTTCAAGGATCAGATTTTGTCTGTCTAACCGATAGAAGTATCGTGTTTTAATAAAACATAATGATTAGGTACTTTTGATAATTAATATATAGATACCGCTTTTAAAAAATACTAGAAAATAATTATTTTGATCCTCGTGATCGACACCACATTACGCAGTGAGTGTGAGGTATACTCATAGTTGGGATTTAAATGATAAAATTCCAAGCGCAAAGACAAAAAGATGTTTCAACAGAAAAGTCATTGATTTTTTTTATTTTTTATTTTTTATTTTTTTTGTATTATTGCATTCAAAATATTTTTACACTCAGATACAAAAGCTGCAGAAGCTGTACTGTACAATTGACAGATTAGCATGATACAGTAAAAATTTTCAGGCCATCTAAACTTGCCAAGAAGGGTGAAATCTTTCAGCGCTGAACTGCAGCTTCAGCTTCAGCAGATTCGGTTAATTCATACTTGCAGTTGGTGGCAGTTGCGAAAATCGATTTCATTCAATCGTATGCAGCATAACATACACTCTGGTAGATCTTCAGGCTTGTTTCCCTGAACAAAATTTTCAAAACATAAAGTGAGAAAGAGGTGTTTGAAGAAAGAGAATCTTAATTGCAGAAATTTCGAAGTTTACCTGAATTGTTAAACCAAAATCGAAAACACAGCTCTTCAATCTGTCATGAAATGCTTCAAAGCCTTTTCTAGCAATAAAGCTGAATCTGTGTATGTCCAAATCAATCTCGAAGTAATTTTCTCCCTGCAGGAATTTGGATATCTTTTATTTAGAAGAAAAGAAAAAGGAAAGAAAGTTTGTTGAATTTTATGTTAGTTGTTGATCTGCTCATCTGCACCTAACATTTTAACTTCTTTGTACAAAAGAAAGGGGCAAGTCCAAGCAAATCAGTCAGCATTATTCTCTTGTTGTCAATGAGTTCCTAAGTGAACTTAATACTTCATAAAATTTACGGGAATGTCCCAGGATTACATACGCCGTGTTACATGCACTCATCAGTCATCATTACGGAGCAGATATAAAAGAAGAAATGTGCAACCATTGCATGATGCTATGCTTATGGTAAACTCACCCGGTAAAATTCATGCTGTGGACGTGAAAGAACAGGCTTTTCATTATAATTGTTCATAAGTTTCTTCTCAGTTGCACCAAAATTGAGATCTTCTACATTCACCACTCGTCCCAAAATCTTTAATCTTTCTCTGAACGGCGCACTTGTATCTAAGGGGAAGCTTTTAATTTTCTCAATTTCACCGTCAACTATTCTCTGCATTGAAGGCAGAAAAGGTGTCAACAGACATTATTTCAGAACATCAAAGGTAGGCATTGATGCAGGCAAAAACCAGAGAGTTTGCTAGAAGGTCTAAACTCTAAATTTTAACTTAGACAAGGAAAAGGGAAGCTTGAGTTTTGAAAGCAAATTCCATCAACCTTACCTTAATATTTTGTTGAAACTGAATGGGAAGTTCCTTTTCAAAGTTATCAGAGAGCTTAAAGTAGAAAACTAAACTCAATCCCTCGCCATTATATTCATTTTGAAAGATCGCCGCAGGATAGAGTGGCACCTGAGAAAGTTGAAAGAAAATGAGACATGTTGATGAGATATCTCGGCAAGTAAAGATGATGCCAGAATAAAAAACATTCGTTCTCTTCAACGTAAAAACAAGAAGGGAAAATAACATTACAATGTGAGAAAATAAATTTCAGGAAGATTGATTGTGTCATACTCGATTTCCTATTCTCTCCAATTTTCAGAAAATTACTTCTAACAATCCTTACCTGAAGGTTCACAACAAGAATAGGAGGAATTCCTCCAGATGAAGGAAAGGGGGGAAGTTGAACGAAACGTGCAATATGATCAATCTTCCTTGGAGAGTAGAATACATCAACTCCAAATGGATAAAATGCAGCATAGTTTGGAGAATGTTCTTTCTTTTTATCCCTGCGCGACAAAAAGGTCATGCAGAAACATTAGATAACCACTCATGTATTGGTTTATTATATCAGAATTAGACAAACAAAAATATGACTGCCTCTTCACCTGATAAAGTTCTTCCCACGAACTTTGAAAGTATTTGGGGGAATACGTGACCAGCTTTCTGGAATTCTTTTCTCAGCTGGGCAACAAGAAACTTGAGAACCTGCAGTAGGTCTTTGAAGAATAGACCTAGGTGACACTGAGGTAAAAAAAAACATAAAAATCAGAGTCAAGAACTTGAAAAGATGACTTTGTAATTGATTGACACCAATTAGCATGCCGAAATGAATTCATAACATAAAAAACGCGAGTGAAAACCTAAAATGCTAACTTCCCAAAGATGACACAGAGAAAAGTGCCAGCAATACTCACATATGGTAGAACTAGGTTGACCTTCTCTGCGTTTGAAAGAGAGTTTAAAGGAAGCTCTTTTCTTAAAAGTCGCTGCACGTGGGGCTAGTGGTTTTGTCTTTTCGTCTGGGGATGTAGAACAAACAAGGCAGGGCAAGCAATGATTGGCTTGATTTCCACAATTGTGCAATATTCTTCCCACCGCATTGTTTGCTCCCCTTTCATCCAAACCAATCGGAGAGGCATGGTTAAGATGAGCCAGATCCTTCACACTGTTATGGTTATCATCAGTAGGCCGTTTAAAACTTAGTAAGGAATCTTCTTTGTGAGTAATCTCTAATACAGGGTTCGTTTCCAAGTTGTCAGATGATAGTTCAGCAGGTTTGGCCAAAGAATCATCAATAAAAGTGACATTGGAATGCTTTTCATCACTACATCTCGGAGTAACAGCAGCAGACATGTCTGCAACATATTGAATTTTACATGACAGGTATCAGAAATCAAAACAACCAAACCCACGAAAACTACAAAGAAGAAAAGCAACAGGATGATAAAAATATGACATCTACTAGAAAGTTTTCTACTTGTTACCATCTGGAACGCTGTAAAAGTCATCCTCGCATTCAGAACCACTTCCTGCTTCTGGATCATACCAAGCCTCTGAAGTTCCTACAAGCACAAAAACGGCCGAAGAAATACAACACACAATGCTTAATGAAATACAATAATTTTCATTGAAAAATCGCGAAACTTTAAAATAATAGAAGTTGAAAAGTGTGCCACAATAATCTAGACTGTTATCTCATCCCTTCAAGATCCAACATTATCCCCCTAAAACCTAAACACGGCTTTCCAATAAGACCCATTCAGATACTAGCTCAAACAATGCACAGCTCATCAAAGTGAGAACTTCAACAATGCTGCGGAGCACATTAGAAATTTATATTCAATCCCGAATGAATTGTAGGATCATAAACACAATATCAGGCCTAAAAAAAGGGGCAAAATTAAAAAAGGCCACTAATTTACAGAACCAATAACACACATGCAACCCAACTAAGCTGAGCACAAACAGACAAGCTAGGAAAAATTGAGGGCACCTTGATAGGTGGGATTGGAGTAAGAAACATCCATGGAATTGGAAGGTTCAACCTTGCTGAGCTTGTTGGAATGAGATTGAGCCCTGGCCCTCTTCCTCCGCCTCCGAATTCGACCCTTTTTCCCTAAAATCAATCGAGCACCGCCACCGGCTCCATTCCCAACCCCAATGCGCTTACACGATTTCGATCCACAAACCCCCATTTTTTCTTCTTTTCTTCTTCTTCTGGGGTGCCCAAAAGATCTTGCCAAACCACTAAACAATACAATACCTTGAGGAAACAAATCGAATCAGCAACAATTATTGATGATGCCATTAGAGTATTTCATCATCATTAACTGGCAGCCTGTATTATTTTATTTTTTCTGTTTTTTTTTTTTGGTTTTTAAATTAATCAAGAGGTCCAATGGGCATTGGGAGGGAGTTAGGAGCATTACCAGACACCGAAAAGCACCTGGACTTTTTATGGGATGATGCCAAACAGACGACTTTTGTAGTACTCGTTTTCATGTCCCAATTCCTTGTTTTTTGTTTTAATTTTTATTTATTTTATTATATTATTATTATTTGCACTTTTCGGAGAAACATCCTCCTCCTATATTAAATGTATACTTTGGTTTGTATTTAATGTGTTATCCATAATTTTGACGGGTAGATTTTTTCCTTTGCATTTATTTTAGTCAACGAGGAATTGGTATCTTTTTAACACTTGGCTTATTAATAGTCGAGAAAAATAAAATCGAAACAAAAAGTGTATTGCACTAATTAATTAATCAAATTTATAAAAGATATATGGGATTCCAATCAGGAGCAATTTAAGTATCAGTCAAGAAAAGATGCTTCAATCAATGTTTGGTGAAGGATTAGATCGAATCATTTAGTCGACAAGACTATACTGTTCTGATATCTAACGTAATCAACTTTGAGGTAATTATTTTGATATTTTTGGTTTACGGAAATTTTTTTTAAAAAAAAAAACCGAAAAAAGATAAATTAAAATCAATGCTTGTTTGGCGTGTGGAGAATGGTGTTAACCAAATAAAGGCCAAAAAAAAAAAAAAGGGTGATGATAATTGACACGGGTTCATTGAGTTGTTTCCACGATGTTTGGTGTTAAAGTTTCAACGTTGAGGTAACGTCGTCTTCATAATATAGATTTTGTATCAATTTGGAACAGTTGTACTACCATCATGTTGTCTCCGTCTTTCTGTGTTTACTTTTGGATGGCAACACATTTGTCTACGTCTTTTTCAAAACCCCAAAAACAAAAGACTCAAAACAGTAGGGAGAAATCTACGGCTTTGTTCTTATAGGGAAACTCATATGTGGGCTTTTGTGGACTTTTTGAACTATCATCATACTGGGTTGGGTAGTGATTGTTCTACTATAGCCATTAAACATGTACAAATAGTGATACTGTACTAATGTAGTACACCTTTATTTTAGGCCCAATTTGATCATGGAAATGGTCCTCCCCTCAAATTTCAAATGGTCCTCGCTCACTGAATTTGATAATATCATGACTCAGGTTAATGCGTTCAGTTTGCACCAAAAAAAAATTAGGTATCCCTTCTTTGACTAACAACGTCAATGTTCGCTTGCTGAGTTAAATTTGTTACCATTAAATAAGAACTAGTTGGCTTGAACGCACTTCGCGTGTACCTTAATTTTAAAATTTAATAAAATTAATGGAAGATAATAAATTGAGGGAAAATTTTTTTAAAAAAATGTAGAAAAAGGATGTTAAATAAATGATTCTATTGAATAAATGTTACATGTGACGCTACAACACGATTAATTATCTTGTATTTACATAAACATAAAAATATGGAACTAATAATAAATTTTCTACATTTAGATTAAAATACATGAATAAATCGTAATTGTAAAACATTATACTTAAAACAAAACTATTTTAAATAACAAACCTAAACCAACACATGAAAGCGAACAATACTTACCTTCTAATCTGTACTGCACTTCAATTATCAAGTTTGCTTTAAATTCGTGATTCTAAAACTTGTCTCTTTTTCTTTTCTTTTTTTTTTCTTTTTTTAAAATTCATATTGTAGTAGAGTTTTCTATTCTTTTCACTGTGATAGTGGTATCAACAGGATCATAAAAACATCCCTCCAACTGTGAGTGTGCTAGTAAAATGCAAAAAAATAAATAATTATTACTTAAATATTCGAACGTTCAAACAAATAACTTGCGTCCTTATAAACACTCAAAATATGGAGAAAAAACATAAGAGACTGAATTAATCCGATATTTAAAATAAAATAATACTAAATTAACATAATATGCATAATACAGAGGATATGAGCGATGAAAAAAAATCTAAAAAATATTCAAATTATTTTCAATTCTCTAAATACTTTTTACTTGTTATAGTTTAAAATTGAAATATCTTTTTTTAGGTAAAATGTGAATTATATTACCTTACTTGTCAGTCCAAAACATCACATATGTACATCATTCCCTGATACAAAACTACACATGTTAGTAGTGCAATTTACATGAGCAAAAAAAGGGGCTAAGGGCTACTTTACAAAATATTCAGTCTTTTCAAAAAAGCTTCTCACTTCTATTTTTTGCTGTAATGAGATGTTGCGCCCTCCATGTGACTTCAGTCTTGATCCCCTCAAACATTACTTCAACATCCTGATGCTTTCCTTCATGCACTTGTTGATTTCTGATTTTCCAGATCTGGTATATGCCAGCTCCCAGACAGCATATAGGATTCTTTTCTGCAACTTTCTGCCTGGCCAAACATGGGGCAGATTTTCCCATTTCTTCTTCTCAATCCAAGTTCTCAGTTTCTCCCAAAGCTCTTTGGAAAATTCACATTGCTGAACTAAATGTTCTGCTGTCTCCTCCTGCAGTTGCCACAAGGGACATAGATCATCTACTAGCATCATGTCCATCTATTTCAATCTCTCTTTGAAAAGTAATCTGTCTTGCCAATACAGCCAAACAACAAATCTGTGCCTTGGAACACTGATCATGTTCCATATGAGTTCAGTTGCAGTCTGTCTTGATTTTTTTCCCATCAACTATTGATATCCAGAAGCTATATTATACTGGACTTTCTTGTGCATTTTCCATCTGTCATGTTGAAAGCCTATACATCGTTCTCACTTAACTAGAGAGTAAACTATATGATTCCTCTTCATGAAAACAGGAAGCCAATGAGAGATTAGACATTAGGGAGAAAATCCAAGCACAAAGGGCTAATATCAAAAAGATTATCAACCAAAATAGTTCTATTTAAAGTGTGAAAAATCAGAGAGACCAAATGTGAGAAAAGAAAATGGAATTAATGAAAAGGAAGATGAAACAAAACTTGTAACTCTAGGGATTAAATGATTCCAATAATGAATGAAATAATGAAACCATTATTACAAAATTAAAAGAAAAATAAAGAATTACATGAAGGACAAACCATTATTAGGAGATTGAATGAAAAAATAATAAATCATAATCATGATGGTAAATTAAAGGAAACGGAAAAGGTTGAATATAGGAGGAGAAGAAAAGACTTATACATGTGATGGTATATTACTAAAAATTTGTCTAAACTCACTATTTATATAGGGAGAGGATTTTTCCAGCCACAACTTTTAGTTCTTTCATCCACAAATTTTTAATTTTCACTATTTTGTCTTTGCCATTTGATCAAACCAAATTGAAGGAGAGAGAGAGAGAGAGAGGAAAATGGGGAGAGAGAGAGAGAGAGAGAGAATAAGCCACTCGGACCGAACCGAACAAGTCATCCGGTCCTATTCACGTGAGAACAGATAAATTATTAATTTTTATTTTAACGTTAGTTTATGCGCAGTATCGTTGCATGTTGAATACATCGTACTTTAAATATTATTAACAATATTTATACTTTAGTTCTTAAACTCTTAATTTTATATTTACTTGAAAATAAAAAAGTTATTAGTTTTTACTTGAAAATAAATTTAAGATTATTCGTTAAGTTAATTTATTTGAATTGATATTAAAATATAAAATTTTGCTTCAATCATTATTTTTTAAGATAATTTTTAGTTAAAAATAATAATTATACATTTATAATAAAAAATAATAATTGTACTACAAAGACTGTGACAAATATGTGCAAACAGATTAACTATTTTTTGTACTACAAAGATTGGTGATACTTAATATAACTCAAATAATAAATTATTCATAAATTTAATGAATAAAGATTTTAATGACCTAAAAACTAGATTAATTAACTACCAAAAAAAAAGCAAAAAAATCTAAAAATTAAAAAAATAGCAATGAATCCGATTGATTTTTTTTTTTAATTTTTAGACTTTTTTAAATAACAAATATTGCTATCTTTTAATTACAAAAAAAGAATAACAAAAAAACAAAAAATCTAAAAATTAAAAAAATGGGCCTGACCGGACCAGTTCACCATATCAGACCAAACCGGGACGGGTAATGAATCCGTTCGGGCAAACAAGTGGGCGGACGGTTCACCCGTCCCGGGTTAACTTGGGACGGTTTCATTGCACGGTCGGTTGGTTTTTTATTTTTATTTTTTAGTTTTCAATTTTTTTCAGTTTTCTCCCTAGTCAAGTTATTTGATTTGAAAAAATGACAGGGGTAAAATAGTCCAAATTAAAAATTTGTGGCTGAAAGAATTAAAGTTAGTGGCTTGAAAAACTAACACCAATGAGAAAAAAGATTCTTGGAGAGGATAAAACTGAAAAGCATTTGAGGGGCAAGAACTAATCTCCCCTCACTTAAAAACATGCACAAAAACATGCACTTAAAAACGAATTTTTCTTATCACGATGCCATAAGCATAATCGTACAATCTGAACATTTAAAATGCTCCACTAATCACACCATTAGACAATGACCTACGCCCACATTGCTAGAATTTTATTGCCAATCATTTTCCCACAGAATTAGAAACATATAAACTGCACTTAAATTCGATATTGTACATTAAATTTCTTTCCTCAAGCTGACCAATTTCGTATGCATCCAACTTTAACTTTATGCCAAACTTTTACGTCCAATAATAGTTGCCTTTTCATTCCACAATAAATATTTGATATTTCTAGCCAATTAGTTTATCCAAGAAAAGGTTGTGTTCCAGAAACTTGCAGAGTTCCAATCCAATGGATGATTGGGTCAAGAAGCACATCTCTGTTTATTCAACTCTGATTCTATCTCTCTGTTATTGCCACTTCATTTCTTCAAGATTCCCAATTGGTTTCTTCAGGCTGATTTCACTTCTCCCCATTTTCTACCTCTTCACAATCCTTCCCCTGTTTCTCCCCTCTGTTTTCTTCACTGCAGTTTTAGCATTCTTCATCACATGGCTTGCCAATTTCAAGCTGATTCTTTTCGCTTTCGGACAGGGTCCACTTTCCTCGGACCAATCATCCAAATCCCTTCACATTTTCATCACATCTGCGGCTCTTCCCATAAGAACAAAACTTAAAAATTACCCATCCTCCCAATTGCAATCAAAATCCACGAAGAAAATACCCATAATAAATAATTTAGGGACAGAAATTTTGGCCTCTGCTATTTTGATTGCCGTATTGGTTGATTACAAAGACAAACTTCATCCCAGAATTTTGTTACTGGCCTATTGTTGCTTGGTGTTTCTATTGGTGGATTGTTTGGTGGCTTCCTCGAGTTTTTTGGTCCGTGCTTTAGTGGGATTGGAGCTTGAACCGCCGTCCGATGAGCCGTATTTATCAACGTCTCTCCAAGAATTTTGGGGCAAGCGGTGGAATCTCACCGTGACGAATACGCTCCGGCAGACGGTGTACAAGCCGGTGAGGTCAGCGTCGGCGGCGGTACTGGGCGGCGAATTGGCCCCTCTGCCGGCGGTTTTGGCGGCGTTCTTAGTCTCGGGTTTAATGCACGAGCTTTTGTTCTATTACGTGACCCGGGCGAAACCCAGTTGGGAAATGACGTCGTTCTTCGTTCTGCATGGGATTTGTGTTGTTTTGGAATTCGGGATGAAGAAAGCGCTGAACGGACGGCTGAATTTGCCGTGGTTCGTGTCGGGGCCGTTGACGGTTGGGTTTGTAGTTGTGACTAGTTTTTGGCTCTTCTTTCCGCCGTTGATTAGGAACGGTGCCGACGCTGTGGTGTTCGAAGAGTTCAGATGCTTTGGGGAACGTGTTCGGAATTGGATGATGACTCGAGTTGACGGAAATGTTGGCTTCCGGCAGTGATGGCGTCGGTCGGAATGTGAAACTAGTCTTCAATTATATATTGTGTTACCTTTGTTAATGCTAATGAACATGACAAAGCAAACTACAGACCAAAATTGGTTGTTTGGTTCGATAATCTTTTAGACTTCTCTTTAAATTATGCACTAATTTGTTTTCATCACGAAGTAGAGACTAGTCCTTTTCTTTTTGCTGTATTTAAAAGAAGACGGAAGCATAGATTAAATCACCACCTTATGTGGATGGAAACCAAGTACTTTTAAGAGTCCATATAATCCCATCCAACCCTATAATTATAGAGGTTTTCAACAAAAAAAAAAAAAAGAAAAAAGAAAAAAAAGAAATGGTGCATCAAAAAATCTATTGTTTGTTCGTCCAATTACTCATTTTCCATTTTCACTCATTTTACATCTTAAACACAAAACCTAATAAAAAAAAAATATCCAAACAACTTTTTAATTTACCTTTTAAAATGTTGTGTTTGGTCATTACACTATTGTAAAGTCTTCGTTTTGGTCACTGAACTATTGTAAAGTCTTCATTGCGTTTGGTTACTAAACTATTGTAAAGTGTTGAGTTTGGTCACTAAACTATTATAAAATCTTGTGTTTGGTCGTTATACTATTATAAAATCTTCATTTTGGGCTGAACTATTTTAATTTCATAAATGGTCACTATTCTATAATACTTTCTAAATAAAAAACTACTACCTTTTAAATCTCCTCTCAAATCCAAATCAAAAATTAAAACAAAACGTTGTCCAAACAAGCACTAGACTTTTGTAAGCGAGTTGCTAAACGTAACTCAATTTTATTTCGTGCAACTTGTAAAATAGACTAAAATATCTCTAAACCTTAGACCCTTGGGGAAATTCACTAATTGTTGATGATTTGCAATGACGGAAAACCAAATAACATGCGAAAGAGGAGAAAATGAGATAATTGTTGGACGAATTTTGACTCCTTTTAGTGTGATTGCTTTTTTTTTTTTTTTTTTTTGGTGTGATCGGGCGGCTTTGGTGTTACGAGCTTTCTAACAGATTTAGGAAAATGGGTGGTCGCTTTTTTCTTTGGTGGATCATTTTTTTTTTCACGTGATCGACGGCTTTGGTGTTACGGAGAACAGAATGCTTTGTTGCTTTGGAAAACTCAGTAAAAATATAATACTCCTGCAGGTTGTCCATCTCGAACACATTGAAAGCAGAGAAAATAGGTATTGTTAATCGCAACTTGATTTTATTTGGCTCATCTTGATTTTATTTAACGCAACTTGATTTTACTTCGTATAGCTTCACAGGGATATTTTAGTCTATTTTACAAGCTACGCGAAGTGAAATTAAGCTAAGTTTAGCAACTCAACTCTATAATTTAATCTCTCATCGACAATTTTCTTATAATTTATCGTTTTTGTTAAACATATCAATAACTAAACACAGTCTCCATTTCGTAACTTCATTAGGTAAACTTTGTAAATTTCTAAACACAATTGTGCACAAGTGATACTACTACAAAGTGGTACAACTTGAAGGAGAATTTGATAGGTGGGCAGTGCCTAGAAACTGCCAACAACCTTTTCAGATTCCAATCAAAAGTAGTGCTAAAGCAGACCAGGGTATCCATCCGGCAGTTGTTTCCACCAGCCAGGGCTTACCTTTATCTTCATTTACAAAACGCTGCCTATGCAACAAATATTCACCTTCATAATGTTGCAGTTGCCTTCTCCCTGAGGTTTCTTTATTCCGACAGGCGATAGTCGTTGCTGCTAGGCCCATAGTTCCTGAAAAAAATTTCACCGGACTTTTGTTAGCCAACAACAACAACAACCCATTATATTTTCAACTCGGTTGGGGTCTGGAGATCAAGATGTAGGTATCCTTATCCCTGACTTTTGTTACCCAAAAAAAAAAAAAATCACCAGATTTTTATTTTTTTAGTGTGTGTTTTAAGGTGTTTTTTTTATTAAAAATATAAAAAAGTGTATTAAGAATATAAAAAAGTATGTTGAGATGCGACAATTATTAATATTTAATTCTGAAAACACGTAGTAGAAATGAAAACAAACAGACAGTTTACAAGAGGACTGTACTCGTAAACTAGTGCTTACTTATACTCGTAATAGGAACCTTTCTCTGCATGGCTCAATGAGTCCCAACCAGCAGGCACGATGCAAGCATCCATGAACGTGTATGCATACATAACATAGCCACAAGGGGTTTCAGTTCGTCCTAGAAAGGTTGAAGACTTGCTATCACCATTGATCACACATCTGCATTTAATTTAATCCTCCAAATTGTTAATTAACAGGTCAAATCTAAATCAACTAATTCAGAAGTTCATGGTTTAACTCTGCACTTAAATAGAGTAATAGACAAGTAACCTAATTGAAGACTATCCAAACTTACATTGTTCTCATTTTATGCCTCTAACAAAAAAAAAAGAAAAGAAAGGAAATAAAAAAGAAGCAAAACCCGTCGCGGGAGTTTGCATTTATGTAAAATTGAAGATCGACGTTGCATTAATTTGTGGAGCTTAGCAGTTCGAACAAAAGAAAGCAACACAACTTAATTATAAAACTAGTAATCAGAACTAGATGTAAAATAAAAGCTAAAAATTCTAAACTCTGGCACACCTTGAGAACAAGAAGCCCGTAGGGATACCGAGCGTAGCGGTATGTGCAGTTATACATCGAGGTGGGGAGCCAGTTTGATCAGTTATACGTCCAGCTGACTTGCAGAAGATATGACAGTGATCGAAAAGAGACCTGCTACCGCCAAAAATGAAGTCCATTCTCCCTTCAATATAGCAATCATTGAAATAATGCCTCCCAGATTGGAAGTTCAAAGTACGCTGCAGAGAGAAGATTTGTTTTTTCAGCTTGTGGAGATTTTAGTATTATATATGAAAAATGCAGCATTCTTTAATGTTTAATCTTTGGTACCAACAATATTATGCCCTTCCAACAATTGGTAAGCAAAGTGAACAACATGATCATCAATATGTAAACAGTATTCCTTCTGTCCCCAAAAAAATAGTACACATTGAGTTTTGGTTTGTGAATTATTGTTGTGGCGGAAAGGGTATAAACACAACAAACCACGGAAGCGAACCCCAAGAAAATCTCCTTTCCTACTACCAATAAAATAGGACAACCAATCAAACAAGCAACTAATTCAAGAACTGATAAAGTAAAGTAGACACACAAATTTACGTGAAAACTCAAATCGGGAAAAACCACGGGACTGTAACAACAGTCAAATCTCCACTATCACAATAATGGAAAAACAGTCTTCACCAACCGGTGGATACACAGGAATTTACCCAAAGGTGGATTACAATAATACTCTTCCACACACCCCTAAATCACAAAGTAGGATTGGAAGGATCTAACCAAAAGAGAGCTAAACTGAAAACTAAACAGGAGGATTTGTAGATCTTGTTGAGAGGAACACACATGCAAACTTGCACCAATAACTGACTCTGTTTCGTCACCCGATCAAAGCCTTAAAGTGAAACACTTTCTTCTCGCAACACCAAAAAATCCCAGAACTAGCTTTTCTCTTCTCTTTTCTCTCGCACAAAGGATTTGTGCGGCTGCCCTAATTTGTTCGTCTCTCGCGGCTGGAAAAACAAGGCAACCCTTTGCCTTTTATAAAGCCAAAAAACCAAAAAACAAATCCCAATTGGTTTTGCTACTATTCGGCCTAACCGAAAGAAAAACCAATTTAGATTAGTTTTTATTACTTCTTATTGTTGTTAGCCAAAGTGAGAGGAATCCGGGCCCAACAATCTCCCCCTTCACCTCAATTGGGGGGTAAAACCAAACATGCTTCCTGTCTACAAAACAGGAGCTTGTCTCTACTCACAGTCTTCGTCAACATATCGGCACCATTGTCATCCGTATGGATCTTCTCAAGAAACAACGCCTTGGACTCTAGTACATCCCGAATCCAATGATACCTAACATCAATATGTTTTGACTGCGAATGAAATGTGGAATTCTTAGCTAAGTGAATAGCGCTCTGGCTATCACAATACACCACATACCTCTCTTGCTTCATGCCAAGCTCTTGTAGAAACTTCTGCAACCAAAGGGCTTCCTTACAAGATTCAGTAGCTGCAATAAACTCTGCCTCTATAGTAGAAAAAGCAACACATTTCTGCAACCTATTTTGCCATGAAACTGCTCTCCCTCCATAAGTCATCAAGTATCCAGAAGTAGACTTCCGACCATCAAGGTCACCCGCCATGTCAGCATCTGTATATCCATCCAACATGGTCTTCCCATTGCCAAAGCAAAGACTCAATCTGGAAGTACCCCTAAGATATCTAAGAATCCATTTCACAGCATTCCAATGCTCCTTACCAGGATTGGAGCAAAACCGACTAACAACACCAACTGCATGAGCTATGTCTGGCCTTGTGCAAACCATTGCATACATCAGGCTGCCAACTGCCGAAGCATAAGGAACCTTTTTCATCTCTTCCTTATCTTTTTCACTTTTAAGACACTGCGTTTTGCTTAGCTTAAAATGCCCTGTAAGTGGAGTCGAGACTTCCTTAGCACCGCTCATGTTAAATCTATCAAGAACCTTCTCGATATACTTCTCTTGAGAAACCCAAAGCTTCCCATTCTGTCTGTCACGAGAAATCTTCATCCCAAGGATCTGTCTAGCCGGACCCAAATCCTTCATCGCAAAGGATTTATTCAACTCCTTTTTCAACCTGGCAATCTTTGCAGTATCATGACCAACAATCAACATGTCATCGACATAAAGCAAAAGAATTATAAAATCACCATCAGAGAATTTCTTCACAAACACACAGTGATCGGCTGTAGTCCTTTGGTATCCCTGCCCTATCATAAAGGCATCAAATTTCTTGTACCACTGACTCGGAGCTTGCTTCAACCCATACAAGCTTTTGTTGAGACGACATACAAGCTTCTCTTTCCCCTTCTCCTGGAACCCGTCTGGTTGTTCCATGTAAATCTCTTCTTCCAAATCACCATGAAGGAAGGCTGTCTTCACATCAAGCTGTTCAATCTCAAGATTCAAGCTGGCCGCTATCCCAAGCAGAACTCAGATTGAAGACATCTTTACAACATGAGAGAATATCTCATCAAAGTCTACGCCCTTTCTTTGATTGAATCCCTTCACAATCAATCTGGCTTTGTACCTCGGTTGTGAGCTGTTCTCACTTGTTTTTAGTCTAAACACCCATTTATTCTTGAGTGCTCTCTTGCCCTTAAGAAGCTTCACCAGGTCATACGTGTTATTCTCATGCAAGGATTTGATCTCATCTTGCATGG